GGGAAAGACCTCTTACCATTTGGTCCTGGAGTTACTGAAATTTATGTCAAATTAATATTCGGTTTAACATTTATTTCTGTATTTCAAATACATTTATCAAGCGGTAGGAGATCCTTACCCCTACGTTACTTTTTCCGCTAGGGGAAAAAGTAACGTAAGAGAAGGGCCTTTTACCACTTGATAAATTTATTTCAGGTACTGAAACAAACGTTAAACCGAATGTTTATTCGGCATAAATTTCAGTAATTTCCAATACCAAGTGGTACAGCATGGTAGGAGGCCCTTTCCCAACACTACTTTTTTTCTTAGTAGAAGCCGAATTTGCACGTCAGTATACATACTTGCACGCGACCATAAACGTCCGTCTTTTCCGGGAAGCTGTCGATTCTCGTGATGGCGGTTCCGATCACGCGACCGGATTTAACGCTGCAAGCGACCAAGCTCGTTGTGTCCTTCATCCATGTTCTAATGAGTTCCAGGTATCCGTTCACGGATGATTGATCCTGCAGCAACGCGGACGCTTTGCACATAGGTTCCTCGCGAAAGTAATGGTGCTAGAAGAAACATGGGATCTGATCGCTTTAAACCACTTTCAAACGAGTGTCGCGATCCACGAAAACCGATAGGTATAGTGCCACTACGAGCTATAGTGACTTTAGGTGTGACCCTCTTAGTGGGGGTACTATGTGATACCCTTAAGGTCCAATCCGCTACATGTGTCATTTCCTATTTTTTTAAGAAAGTCGACCGTATATTCGGTGATACCGCTTTCGTGGAGCGGGACCTCCGATTGGTTTTACATCTAGGCACTACGTTTTGCCGTAAAACCCATAATGTGAGACTTTTATGGTACTCGAATTTCGTTCAGGGCCGTAGGATGTTAACTCGGAACTGTTTCTTCCTTTTTGGTATATTTAACAAAATTTTAATTTGGAACTTTCCCTTCGGAAATTCCGAAGGGAATTTCAATTTTTCAAGATTGAAAGAAACTAATTTGCTATTCTAGAGTTGTTATTATATTCGTCGTAAACGAATGTTTAACTTGCAACATTCACGGAAAAAGTTTATATATTTCTTAATCTTTGACAACTATATGTTACCCGTTATTAATACGTAAATTACATATTACTGAGCAAGAGATGACGAGGGCCTGAGATTTAAAGTAAATATGTATATTTCTGTAAGATACACACGGCTCTGACTGCGGTTTTATTAATGGGTCTTCGGTCACCCGCAAAGTGCCTAGGGTATGTGTACCAATTACGGAGACTTTAAGCCAGCTTGCGCAACCAAGTATTTATTAAAAAATACTGCTAGATAAATTTCATATTATGAAAATGAATATCAGTTGTTAAACAATTCCTTTTTATGAAGGAATTTTTTTAAATCGCAAAAATTAAATCTTTGTAATGTCTTTCATTAAACAAAAACAGATGTTTTTTTTGTATTACGGAGCCCTTTCAGTAGCTGCAGATGTATTTCAGTGCCTCCAATTTCGGAGCCTGTTTCTGTTTCGGTGCCCCGTATTACGGTGTCTTGAATGTCGCTTCTATCCTAGCTTTTGTAAAGAAGGGAAATTTTTTTCCTCTTTATTATAGAGGAAACGTTTTTTACTTGGAGCTTGACTCATGTTGTTACAGATTAAGTCCTACCTACTTATATACAACGACCTACACGCGCTTCACTTTTGGTTTAACGAAAGTGAGATTATGAGGAAGAGCTACGCTTGGGGGCTCCGTATTACGGACAAGACTGAAAATCACGCGGTACTACGGAATTTACTTAAAAATAAAAATTAATAAGTTTGTAGGTGTTGAATTAATTTTTGTAATTACATTAAACCTTTTTAGGATACAATATGCATTTTATACGGTGAAGATGCTGTTTATAATTAATTTATATGAAATAGTTTAGTATGCATTTCTTAAGGTTTTGGCTAAGAACATCGATGAAATCACCAAAAGCGTAATACACATATTTTAATAAACACTTAAACCATTATGACATGTTAAAAGTGTCGTTTTTTACGTCGAATCTTATTTGTTAATAATTTAATTTAATTAAAAAAATTTTGTTTATGATTATTTATAAATGTATTTCTTTTAAACGATTATTTTAATACAGAGGCTCCGTAATTGGTACACATACCTTAGTTGTAGAATCAATCGGGGGTCGCGCTTCACAAAAGCGGTATCACCGAGTATACCTTGACGTTAAACTTGCCACCGAAACCCTTAAAGGCACGAAAATCCAACCTCTGTTGTTTTTACGAAGTCACTATAGCTCGAAGAGGCACTATAATGTGCCGAAAAATCGTTTAGAGGCTGTACGGTGTCGTTCGTTGTTCATTTTTCGCGGCTAAACTTTGATCAGACGCAACACTTCGTCGTATTGCGGCTCCTTCAGATCTTGTATCGTGCAACTGTCAGGCGAGTCCCATACTAGGGGAGCTTTCATTCGTGCCTCCAACTGTAATGTGTGCTCATCTTTTTCTTCGTAAAGATCCATTTTGTTTTTAGTTCGCAAACTTGTCACGTTCCTTTCGACGATCCAGACAGTGTGGGTTTTGAATATTATTTTAAACAAATTTTTATTCTACGACAGTCGAAATAGAACCTGAATGGCATTTTAAGGGATCTCGATTCGTGGTTCAATCATTTGTTTCGATACGGAACGACTTCAGTGTTGCGTGCACCGAAATTCATTGGCTTTTTTTAGCCATTTCAGCGTTTTCTCCGGATGTAAATTATTAGCGACTTTTGTTATAGAACTTGAAATTACCGAATAAAAATATATTTTTTAAAACAGGAAAATAGCAATCTTGAAATTTGTATTCGCTTAAAAAATGGCGCAAAACATGAATTTAAGTTGAAAATGGTATAAGAATTTGACAAATCTGCGTAATAATGCAAAGGGATATTCTGAACATTAAATTAATAATAAATTAATTCTGTCTATGAGATGATTACCTATTTGATCGAACTAATGTTATTTAAATGACACTAATCCTAACCGTAACACATCGTCAGCCGGTTTCCTAATAATAATTTTAAATATACATATATCCGTTTAATCGTTACTCCAAATTATGTATTCATCACAAGTAAAAGTTAACGTGAAGTGAACGAAATTTCTTATCGTTTAAAAATTTAAGATCAAAAGTTTGTCTGTCAGGTTAACGTTTATTTTTTGTGGTTGGCTCGATTACCGTCATCGAGATAGCAAATCGAGAACAAAAGATGGAACTTGCGTGAATATATCATAGACATCAGTCTATTTCCCAAGTTTTTTCATAAAATTCTGTACCTTTCAAAATTGTTAACCGTGTTTACATCACTAAAGCAAAATACTAAATCCACTAAGGAATTTTTTTTGTCGATTTACTTTACGGTTCTTCGAAACATGTATCCACTTCGTAAAATCAGTTTGATCAAGGAAAACTGCATCACCACCGCGAACGATGTTATCATGGCAATAAAGAAGAGACGGCCGCACGAAAACTTGAGGCGTGCGGATGTGGCCGTTATTTGGGAAAGAAAGTCGAGCGGTTATCGAATCGTCGACCTTCGGCTTAATAGATTCATGCAAGCACTACACTTTGTGCTAGTATATTACCGCTCGATGTACAGTTTACACGTGTAACGCATAAAGGATAATTTTTTAACCCGTAATATATTCCAGTTGGAAATTTGAAACTGCCTTGCCATCGTACAAAAACAATTTCATTGTTAACAATCATAATTCTTACATCATAGTCATATAATTAATAAATTAATTTGAATTATTTCACTAATTCATAATGAATAAAGCAAAATGCAGTTTTGTATTGGACGTACCAGATGATTGATAAATTGTGGTGCAATCAGCAATAAACTATTACATAATTGTCTAATGTAACATTTTGTTGATACATTGATTTTTTTTATTCATAAGTAAAAATTTCTATTTGTGTACTTATTAAATATTTGAGCGTTACCGCTTTAATTTATCATGTATCAGAGTACTTTTTACAATCTAAAAATCATTAGAATTATCTGAATCAATTCACAAAATATTGTTCTGAATCACATCAAATCTGTTATACGTTCCAGACTGATTTTTTGTCGTCTGAGCCAATGCTCAAAGCTGTTCGTTTGTTAGACGATCCTACGTCCGTCAGGATTTACATAGGTACGATTTTAAGAAAAATGGAACAGATGATGAGTTTCTGTGCCGTTCAAGAGGGAAGCGACGAGATCGTGGGTGTTTTAATCGCGTCGAATGTGGAGAAACGTACAAATATAACTGACTTCAAGGTAAAGAACACAGTCGACAAAATAATTATCCTTTATTAGGAAATGTAGAAACCAGGCGTCGAGAGGCTACGTTCTAAGGAAAGTTGATAGTAACACGTTATGCCCTTTGTACAGATGATTCTTCAGGGAGACGCGTTTCGCCGGATCACCAAGCTTCAAAATTACGCCATTTTGCTGGCCCAGTTTTACGAACCGCTGAATGCCGAAGGATGAAAGGCGTTGGCACCGCGTTGGTACGTTCTTTCGTCGATCAAGCGACCAGACACGCGTCCGCCTGCGTCGGGGAGTTCACTTCCGGTGCTGCCCAAACGATCGGTAAATTTTCATCGTTAATCGAGTGAAAGGCAACCTGTTTCGATGATTTCGTTAATCGTCCCGCGCTTTACAGCGAAGAGATTGGGCTTCGAGATCTATTCAGAAATTCCGTATAAGCAAATCGGATGGAAGGAAATCAAGTTCCGTATATTCGAGACTTGCTATCCTGAAAATTATTCCCTAGCTTGCATGGGATTTGCGGCACCGTTGCCGAGAATTGACCGGATGGTACCGCCACCGCCCACACCTACCGAAAAATCGACGAAAAAACGAACGAATACCAAGGATAAGAAGAAACGAGTGAAAAAAAGATGATCTTATTTGTTTCTTCGGAACATAATTATGGGTATTGAATTATTTCATTTTTAAATAAAATGAAGACTGTAGTTTATTTTATCGTATAAAAGTCTTGACAAGTGATATTGGTTTGTGGTAGTGTAGACTATGACTGATTTCTGAATCTACAATCTAAAGACAAAAACATAGTGTCAGAGGTCGAACATATGATTTATACCGTTCTGCGTCGGTAATTTATAATAATAACACACCTTCGGTCGTGAAGACATATTCTATACAGTTTTCACAGTTCGTCCTTTTGCTGCTGGTTGCCACTCTTTGTCAAATCAGGTCGTATCGGCAGACCGTTCCAGAAGTTTATTCTCTCCGGAATAAGGTTTTTCGACATTTCAATTTGATCGCCTCCTATGCGAAGGTATTCGAGAGCTTCCGTTCTTACTGGCTTCCATTTGATGGGTATGTCTTTGGACACTTCAGGCGTAGGATTGCTGAGAAATAATTGGTTACTATCATTCAGTGATCAATTGATTGGTGTCGTAAAAGTAATGTTATTACTTTATTATAATCAGACTGCGGATTTTATGAATTTATAACAAATACAACTAGTGATGTATAAAGCTCAAGTCTTCGAAACTATAAAAGCTTAGCCTCGAGTTGTCGAAACTGGAGGCTCCAGTTTCAAGGCTCGGGCCTCAAAGCTCGAGGCTTTTATGTTTAACACATTCACTACCGAGCGTGTTCTGCTTGTTTTGTCTTCAGCGCAAAAGAGTGCTTGCCTATTAGAATCATATGATAACATATTACACAATAAGATTATATGTATTGTGCAAAATTATCATGCGTACATTTATCTTGCTGCCGGTCATATATGACCCCCACGCCGTAAGAGTATGTTTTCAGTCGATAATACTATATTTCGAACATTACAGACAAATTTTTAGCAATGTTTTATTTCCTCTATTATTCAATGGTTATTTTGTTTCATTTTTTATTTCCCTTTCTTAGTATCAGTCTCCCAGGAGTTTTGCTGAGTCAAAATTCATATAATGATTTCAATCAATTATTTCATTACAATTACCCATACAATAAATAATATATCAAAAAAAGAAAGTTCCACAAAAAGTGTCAACATTTTGTGAAGAAATATTTTGTGAATTTATAAGAAAACACGCTTTTCTGGACGTTTTTGTATTATTCCCCGTTAAAGCTTTAAAAGCTTGAGCGTCGTATAATATTAGAGTTCAAAACTGAAAACTTTTAGGTTAAGTTTTAAGGCTTCGAAAACTCGAGTTTTGTACATCACTTCACTACATACAATTTATACGATTCGAGCCTTCAAGCTTAAAGGCTCGAGCTTTCACGGCTCAAGCTTTGAATCTTGCGGGTTTGAGCCTTTAGGATTGTAGGACTTTAGTATTTGAACCGCGACTCGAGCTGTTAAAGCTCAAGACTCGAGGCTCATTTTAACAAAACTAGATACAACTGATTCTGAGTAAAGGACGATAGAATAAATTCTTTAACACAGATTTCATTTGTTTCTTTGTGGGGTAATTTTAATTAACACTAGAACTTATTGAAATCATAAAGGTGCTATCGTTGGAATTTATGTTGATTCTTAATTCATTATACATTTTATACATATAATACTATGTTATGTTATACCGTATTATACATTTTAATTTAGTATACGCCCTCTGCTGGTAGTTTAAGTGTTCAGGCATTAAGTTTCTATGTAATTCTTATTTTCATCTATTCGTCTATAAAAACGTGAATTCACAAAAACATTCAGTCTGATTACATTCAAGATTTATAAAAGAAAATAGTTTAATATGTAATGGAGCTTAGCATTTTGGTTTTTTCCACTTTATGACAGTCTACGAACTACGTAATCACATTTTGTATTAAAAATTTCACATGATCGTGTTGCCGAATAAGCGATTCTAAACATTTGAAAAATAGTGTACGAAAAGTGCAATGTGTAATGATGAAAATACGCAGAAAAGTTTGTGAATAAAGAAGAAAATACACATAATTGTTATGAACTCTATAAATTTGAAAATTTGACGTTTCAAAATTCCAGAGGACGAAAATTTTTACAACAGGTAAGGTTTACGTTTACTTGATCAAATTATCAAAAAACAGTCTTTGGAGCATTTAAGAGAAGATGGTATTTATTTAATAAGACGGAACATTGTTAATAATATAAATACTTACCCAGTACTAGCAAAATTGACCCAAAGACTTGTAATGGTGTCGACCATTTTGTGATCCTTTTCGTTGAGCGGTGTATCCGCAAACAATACTTCGCCGACTGGGAACAAGTATTGCATTTCATCACCATGGCACACTCCATAGTCATTGATAGGATCACCAAATACCCTACTGAATGATGCACTACCTCGGTAGGTCAAATAATAATAGTAAACAGGGGCAGACTGTTTCTCGAGATAATCACGCACCGAATGATGAGCACAGTGAGTGATCCACGCATCGCTGTACATCTGTAAACCATAACAATGTTCCTGAAATATCTGTTCTTCACAATTCAATTATAGAGCATTTATGGAAATTGTATGCCTAGTAATCATAGGAAGGATCAAGAATATATTGTTTTATGCTGATACAAAGAAATGTTCTCTTCAATTATAATAAAAGCTGTTACAGTAGAGCTTTCCGTGTCCGAATACCCAAATATTCTGACATATTATTATTCAAGCGTTTTGTTATATTGTTAATGAAATGTCGAACATCATTTTTTGTAGGATACAACCCCCCATATGTCCTATCAGGCACCTATTTATAGAAATGTTTATAAAGGTAAACTTGTTTGTAATGAAATTGAAAACATTACGAGGTGCAAATTGTCACAGGGTCTTTCCACGCCAAATAGGTCATTTTTGGTACTCGATGTCGGGAATTTTATTCAAAATGAAATATGTTGTAGTTTACGTGAAATAGCAAACATTGCAAACTTTTACAGCTTGTATTTTTTTAAACAAATACGATACCAGCAAAGTGATGACTTAAACGCCCCCCCCCCAACCTAATTTCCCGTGGACAGCAACATATTTCATTTTGAACAAAATCCCTAATATCGAACGCAAAAAGTGATCGATTTGGCGTGGAATAACCCCTGAATTTATGTTCTAGTCTTATCGAATTTCATGACTTAATCAAATTCATTTCAAGTCAGGTTTTGAAAATCAAGAGATTTAATAATTCTCATCACGACAATTAAGGTTCAGTCTTGGTCAAACCACAAGGATAAGTATAGTTAACATGCAGTTTATATGTTAATTAAAAATATGTAAATGCGAATTTTAAAAGTAATTATACTCACATCGATAAGTTTGAACCGCGCCGCGTCATCGATCGGGGCTTTGCCGAAATAGAATTCTCGTATTTCGGAGGCTACACGTTTTATTTCGTCTTTGGGGCAGCTCTCTCCGAACAGCAATGTCATAGGTGCGATGTTTGAGAAATCATTGTTTAGCTTCTTTACTAACTGTCCATTTTGCCTAGTATATAGTCCTGGTAAATGCAATTTGGAATTTATATTTCTGACAAAGCATAATGCATATTGCATGGACAATGGATTTGGGCGATGAAAAATTATTATGAGACTGCGGATTTTATACATTTATAGCCTATAGGAATCTGTAAAATACAGTAAAACGCAAAACTTTCATCAGATCTAATGAGCTTTCTAGTCTATTCTAAGCCGAATATGATACTTAAGAAAAGAATGTAATTCCTAGATTTGCTTTTCTCTGCATGATTTGCTGCTGAAAATATCATTTTCTATAAAAATCCGCAGTCTAATTTTTTAAATAAATTGAAGAATATCGGAAAAAATTGGTGCGTTTTCGGTATTTTTTTCACTTGAAACATTATTTAAACATATTTAGATATCATAATATAATAACAATTTATATCATTTTGATGGGAAAAATCCAAAGAATTATTTCGTGTCAAAAGAAAGCAAGAGCACAACACAGCTCCGAAGTTGAAAATATGCAATTCTACAAGAAATTGATTTTTTCAAAAATGGACGTGCTGGAAATAAACAGTTTGCAGATTCGTAGTCAGCACATAAAGATGTATTAGAAAATTTTTTTACGTGTTGAACAGTGTAATTAAAGCATAGGTATTTACAAGCTGTGGCGGGTACACCACGAAATTCCGTAATTAAAGTTGCATATATGTATGTATTAGTGATGAATATTTCAAGTACATAATCTGAATTTATAAATTGTTCACGTCATGAAAAAGTTAGAAACATCGACATTAACTATTCATTTACACATTTCCGTATAAGTGATGTAGCTATTGTTGTTACAAATCCATAACTATCCGGAAACTTGGTAGTGTAAAATGAAGTAATTGTGTAAAAACTTGTTCATACGTCCTTAAAACTTAGATTGAATCTAATGAATTAATTTAAAGATTTCTGGTCTAATGATTTGTTTACTATAATTCCTAAAAGTTATTCAAACGTTGATGACCCAAATGAGAATATTATGATATTAAATATATATAATAATTGCCCATTAAGCTATAAGTACCTGGTACAACAAGCGCTCCTTCTTCGGACGTAATCCCCGTCATCCATGGTATGTCCATCAAGCGACCATTTTTTGATGAAAATGCAGGATCCTCTGTTAGGAAGGCACCAGGATGATCGGCTTCGACTACTGGCCTGAAGGGTATTATTGGGCCGTAATCAAATTCCTAACAAGAAAGTGAGAAAGGTCAACGTCAATGCAAAATTGTGCAACAGTAGAATCTCGTAAAATTTATTAACTGGATAATAATATCGGTGTGATAAAGGATGTTTCTGATTGCAAAGTCTTGGGAAATACATATTATAGGTACTTATGAACACTGGTGTATAATACAATACTTACTTGCGCTTAGCAAAAGAATCAACAAAATTTTTCTCTTAGCTTGCAATTGAGTAATAAAAATATTATTAGGCTGTCCCATAGGTCCTTGCCATTTTCAACTAGTTTTATTTTTATTTTGTATTTATGAAAATTTTATTTTAATTCTAAGATATAATCACCATCATTATCAATAACATTCAACCATCTGCACGGCAAGTTTTGAATGCCGCTCTCCCAGAAAGCTCTGGGTTGGGATTCAAAAAAGGCACCAATATAATTTCTGAGGGTGGCATAGTTGTCAAACTTCTTGCCCAGCAGATGTTGTTTAAGCGGTCGAAACAAGTAGTAGTCCGATGGTGCAATGTCCGGGCTGTATAGTGGAAGGAGTATAGTATAGCATTATTGAATTGGTTTTCTTTCATTTGAATTAATATAAGTAATTACTAACTTAAAATAATTAGCGGAAGTTGTTGAGTTAGATGAAGTTTTTGAAAACTCGAGTCAAAATTACACAGTCATCGTCGTACAAGTGTTATGAATAACTGCACCAGTGAAATATGTATTCCAAACTATTGAGTACGAAATAATCTTTTTTTAAAAAATGATGTGAATTCAATTGTCATAGTTTGCTACATTTACAATTAACATGCTATTCGGTCGTTGCACCCATCAAGTACCAACTATTTTGTTCTTTGCAATATTTCTGAGTGGGTGACAATTCTTAAATGTCAATACCATAAGGAACAAGATTCAAGGATATTTAATGAGAAACTGGAAAAATGTTTGCGGTGAAAGCATAATAGTATTACCAAAAAATCAGGCTCAATCTTTGACACAAGTGTGATTAATACGTTTCTTCATTTCTCTTGAAGGTACATAGTAATTGATATAATTATCTATTCATAGAAACCTCCAAACATGACTTAAATACCTTGGAATTTCTTATCGATCTATGAAAATTTTGTCGTTTCCTTCACGTGTTTTTTGTGCTACCGCCATCTTTATTTGTACTAAATATTCGGTCAGTGCAAAAATTTTGATGGATTTTTTGCAGATGATGTGATCGTTACGGGTTTGTGGAAACAATAAGCAATTATGTTAATATATTATGTGTCGATGTCAATATAATGCAGTGAATTGTTGGGTAGAATAAAAATAGACGTGATTGTGTGTGTTTTATTCTTAAAAATAAAATTCAAATTAAGTTGCTGTGAAGAAATTAAAAATTGAAAGGAATAAACGGTACAAACATTGCAAAAAACATTTGTGATCTGTTTGAAGAAGCTATTATATAAATCTCAAAGTGTGGTAAATTATTTTATTAACATAATTTAATTATATAAATGCAGTAAATAATAATATTTAAAAAAGTATTTATTAGAACAAAAATTTCTACTGAAAATACAAATGTTATAAAAACATGAGTACGTATGTCATGAAATTATTAGTACGTACATTATAATTAAAATTATTGTTAGTATACTTTTTTAGAGCGAAACCCATAAAAACTTTAACAATTACCCGATATTTTATACAAAAGAAAAACAAATATAATTACCTGAAAAGCACGATCTGTTCCGATAATGTCGTTGGCGTTTTTTTTGCGCAGACATGCGACCAATTGGTTTGTGTCTTTCGAAGGGCAGTGTAAAAGGTCAGCCAGTTTGATGGCATTTATTTTGGCAGAACCTGATCTAGCGATAGCCCATGGACAGTTGCTGCTGCCACTTTGTGAGATAGCGCGATGGAAAAGTCCTATTTCAAGAGTACGTTAAATAGAACAAAAGTACATTATCCAAATTCGATCGTTAATTATTCGTCAGGGGGGAGGGGTGGCTCGATTGATGACGAATGTCATGGGAGTATTCTATAAATGGTACGCAATCAGATAATTTGTTCTTGTAACGAATTTCATTTCTCGACTTGAGCAGCATCGACAGAGATTTTTCAGAACGTACGTTTTTTTCTAATAAAATTCATTTTGAATTGAATAGGTGCACGCTCGTGGGAATTCTTATTGCTTAATGCTTAAATTAATTTCTCCATTGATACAGTAGTTAATTTCAACACTTTTCAAAAACACGACTCGTAATATTGCGAAAGTAATGAAGTTAATTATAAATAAATGACTGACCTCTTGTCAAGCTACTCATCATATGTAAGTGTACGCTGGCACCTCCTGCGCTTTCTCCAAAGATGGTCACTCGATTTGGATCACCGCCGAACGCGGCGATATTCTCGTGCACCCATCGGATTGCTTGCGCTTGGTCTTTCAGTCCATTGTTCCCAGGTAATATCGAATCCTCCATGCTCAAGAATCCTAGTGGCCCAAGTCTATAAAATATTAAATAAATATTGCACACATAATTACTTTCAAATATTATGAATAAAGGAATCTGATCATTAGTTATAAGTACACGATGTCAGTTTTTGTCAAATATTAACACTTGCTTGGCGAATACTGAATTCATTTTTACCCATCAGTATTAACGATCGTATTACTTAGTATGTAATGTATAAATTAATAATTTGTAATTAATAATTTGAAATTATGCATTAGATATTTTTGTAAATATTATGGAGTACACGAGGTAATACACCATTTGTAATGAGGAATAATAAATTTTGTTCAGTTGCGCTGTATATTACTTCAGTATATTTAGCGCACACTGCTACGTCTTCGTTTACTTTACTTTAATAATACTTCTCAGAAAGGATTTATGCATATATTAAGATGAACATATAGTGAAAAGGTTCAACCTTGTTAGATAAAAATGACATTGCAGTAATGGACCCAAATGGACGCACTGTCCGTCATGCGGTTTCCTGTTAAATAACTATTCAGGGTTAACATAATTTATACTTAATTATAACTGAATCAAATCGAATCGAACTTACACAATTAATATAAACATATGTATATCGAGCCTAAATTGTAGTACATTCAGTTCTGGTGTTGAGATAATTCTCAAAGTAAGCTACGAAACATAAAATGCTAAACATGGATAAGCTACGGGATACACGTTTCAAGAATTACCTGCATACTTCTGAAACGACTAATCGATAATATTCTATAATGCTTTTTATTCTCATATTATTAATTCATTCATAGTCTAACTCCGACCTGTAGTTCACCGTGACAAGAATAACATCGTGGTCCAGCAAGAATTTTGGCCCGTAGATTGCGGAGTGCCCAGAGCCGGCAATCCAGCCGCCACCATGCAACCAGATCAAAACGGGATAGCCTCCTTTTGATTTGTCCTCCTCAGTTGGCAGTTTCGGTGTGTACACGTTCAAGTACAGGCAATCTTCAACGCCGAGAATATTATCGTCGTAAATGAAGACGTTTCTCTGCACGCACATGTTTGCATCCTCTTTGGCTGGTCGGACACCGTCCCATGCTGCTGATGGTTTTGGCGACTGGAAGCAAACGTATCCCATAAAGCATAATTGACATTCTTGACCGAATGATATTTCGACTATAAACACCTGTTTAGTGTGACATGTCATCGCTCTTATGATTTCAATACAAAGAAATTCGACAATATCGAATACAAATTTTCTTAACCCACTGACTAACTGCGGGTTATAAGCTTCTACCGTAGGTATCGCCGTGTTTCATTAAAAAAATTGTAATGTAATAACGAGAAATTTTAATCCGATGAAGTCAAATTGTTATTTTTCCTGAGCAATCTATACAACTAAGAAAAATGGATACTTACATATTTCAAATAGTAGTGCTAAACATGATATATAAATCACAGGGCGTGCAATTACGCTTATGGTCGTCAGTGGGTTAATAAGATAAATTTCCTAATAATTCGAATTTGATAAGTCATTGACCACACGTGCTTTCAGATAGATTTGCTTCACTCTTGTGCACTGTTCAAAAAGATATTACATACTATACTATCCACTGAATTGGAATATGTTCCCGAATACAGTAAAGACTCCATGAGTGTTGGAAATTTGGGACCGCTTGAAACTTTCACGGTGCACCGCGAATCGTTTCAATACCTCACAAATCTATTTTTTGCCCGAAGCCTGAGCCTCGGCAACAAAAGCGGGGGAGGGGGCAAAAAAGTATACGCAGTGATGGGGATGAAGTAGAAACTCTCATGAGGAACTTCCAGTCCAACTCTCATGGATTCTTTACTGCAGTAGTACATTGAGTAAGGTGTGTAGACAGAAAACGAAATTAAGGCCAAAGAGAAACGTAGTAGTAAATTACATTTTTTTTCAATACTGAAACGAAATAGTTTGGCAAAACATGCGGTGTCGATAGTACTACTTTTGTTGATGAATTTCGAAGGAAAAATGTCTGCTGTATCGCGTCGTGCAGTTCAAATTTCTTCTAGACCTTTAGTTTTTGAAACAAATTGAAGAATATCAACAAAAACTGGAGCGTTTTCGGTGTCCTTTTCACTTTGAACATTATTCAAATATATTTCGATGTCTATAATATAATAACAATTTATATCATTTTGTTCGGAAGAATCCAGAAAATTATTTCGTGTCAACAGAAACTGAATAACTATTACTATAAAAGCACGACACAGCTCTAAAGTTGAAAAATTGGAAATTTGCTAAAAATTGATTTTTTTTTAATCTGGATGTGCTGGAAAGAAACGGTTTGCACATTCGTGTTCAACTTATAAAGATCTATCAGAAACGCTTATTGAAAATTGCAAACATTTTTACGTGTTGAGCAGCGTTATCAACAAAACTGCAGAAAATGACTATTAATGTATATGTATAAATACATGGGTCTTGTGAGAAGAAGAATATGTAAAAACTAGGAAGTAAACAATTTATTCTGATGCATAAAGATAAGAAGATTGTTTAAAAAAAAAAGTATTAGAAAATGTTGGGAAATGTTTTGTGTAACTTGGTGTACAGTTATATGTATGTATACATTAAAGATGGCGTGCAAAATCACTAACAGTGATTTATCACAATGATCGCCGAATCATGATCACGGTCGTAGTTTAAGTTTATTTACGACTGTGATTGCGACTTTTTTATCTTAAATGAATTTGCTCACCGTGACCGTAAGTCCTTGACCTTTAAACAGAAAAACGTATTCAAGATGATTTTACGATGAATTACATTACTATTTGTGTTTTTAAAAATCAGTAGAAGAAACAAGAAATTCTTAGAGAATAATTTGCTAGGTAACACGTAGATTATAATTTATAATCATTAATTTATTCATTATTCTTCATTATTTTTAATTATTTCTTCACTTTATACGATATAACTTGAGTTTTTGTTTCGATGTCGTTAATATAAAATATAATATAATATATTATATGAATAATATAATATGTTATATAAATATATGTATAGGTTATGCGTCGTGTGTAAAGGACTGTGATTTTTTTTAAACGATTACGAAAAATCACGAATCACTTTGAAAAATCACCGTGATTGGGAATGAACGCCATCTTTAAGTATACATACACGTGTTTGGAATATTTTTAATTTATTTGAAATTCGTGTGTTATTAAGAAACGCGGTTATTCTGCTTACTTGTCATATTCGAATTAATAAAAAGAGAACGAGCAGTAACTAGTTTAGCGATTGTCTTAATAGATAATTTTCTAAACACTGGAAGCGAAGAACAATTTTTCCGAATAAAGATAAATTCATGGGTTATAATAAATAATAATTAAATTCTCAATTTATATTTTGTATTTTTAATATTAAATCCAGCGATTAGTGTCACAATATTGGAAGCAATTTTATTTATTGAATAAAATTGTGGTCGATAGATAAATAAACTTATGGGATTTAATTTTTTTAATCGTTCCAAAACGATTCAGAAAATATTAGATGCATTTTAATAAGCCTGCTATAAGTGGTATTATTAGCTATTTCTATTGCTGCAAAACTATGATACTGTTTATGTTGGTTTTTTTGTACTGTTATTAGTTTATACCAAACCGGATACAATTTGGCTAAAATGAAACAGAAGTTAGCCTTACCTCGAATCGAAGTTCTTCAAGTGGTGGCAGGGCATAAGGAATTCCCCGGAAGCCAGCGAACTCTCTGCCGCGTCTAGTTTTCATAATCAGACCCGATATTGTTCCATTTCTTATCTTCACCAACGGTGTATGGGCCTCAGATGAAACGGGCTCGCTCAGGCAAGAGCAGCCCGCTAAAAGCCACAACAGGCTTTGATATTTTGTCATTTTGTTGTAAACGGACCTGCGCAAAAATGATTCCAAATGACACATAAAACATAATATTTTCAATAATTAATCGTTTGAATCACTTTATGTTTATGTTGAATACTTAATGTTCATGCTCTACATTTGTTTTAAATAATTCAACAATGAAAGCAGTTTAACACAAATTGATGTGATTTATTAAAGGTATTATTAAATCAAGACGATAATATAAACTTTATCAATGTTTTAATATTATCTTGTATTACACATTCGTATTTCCCAGAAATTCATTAACATTTGCAGTCTATTTATATCATTAGTCATTAAGTATAAATCTATGACAATTATGAATTAACTGAAATGAGAATAAAAATACGTGACTACGTACAATTTGAAGAATATCTTAATGGTCCTTCTTTAAACCGTAGATGTAGAACGCTTTTGGCCCTTGTGGATGACAGAGGAACATATGTACGATCCACGGCTGCGAAGTCACGACTGTTTTAGCTGAGAGACGTTCGATAGATAGTTAGTTTCGATAATATTCGATGCACATACATGAAGAAACATACACATATACATTCGTCGCTGCAAATAGCTTGGTCATTATAAGATCATCGATGCTTTCTGTAAGTTAATAGGAATCAGTATTACGTGCCTTGCGTACACGCAATTTTGCAACGACGTCCAGAGGACTCTAATGGAAACATCTGAATAATTTACTAATAAACACTTACAAAAATACTGTTCATTAAAAAATATTGTACGTATAAGGAAATCTATTATTAATGCACTATATAAAAATTGGATAATTTTAATTGTTATTTAATAATATAAGTGATAGTTTGTGATAAACAATGTAGATGAAAACAGTAAAAATTTTTAATTCTACTTTTATGAAACAATAAAAGTAGAAAGAAAATATGGAATGTGTATGAAAGGAATGATTAGACTTCTGTATATCTATGTAAATGCATGAATGTCGGGCATATACCGATAAGTATAACCTTGAGACGATGCCAGGCGTTTGGTAATTGTTAGTTGATTACTGAACATAGTATTATTGTAACTGTAAAAAGAAATTTATTCAATTCGGTAAGGAGTAGTAGACAACGACAAATCCACAATGCATGAGACACTCATAAAATTTCGACATACGGAATAATGTTTCTTTACGAAAAAAGAATCAGAAAGTTATATTTTCATGAAAGTTACAAGTCCATAAATAAATTTCTCTTGTTTTTGTAGAAATTTTCAAACCGAGCAATTAAACAAATTTTATCAATTTTGAAAACGGGAAAAACGATTACATATCAATCTTTCAGGTTCATACTGCAATAAATATTGTTTTTAAATGCTCTTTTTCAATAAATACTGTACTAATATTGTAAATGCCATAACAATAAAATTAATGTCCGCCAACAATCAGTTTGTTCTTCATAAATATTTAATTTTTCAAATATACAAGCAAATGTGATTAAAAGTACACGTGGTACAGTAGAGGCTCGTTTAATGTAGGCTAATTTAGTGCACCTTAGGGACGCCCCTCGTTCACATGTACAGGGTGATTCTCTCGCTGTGCAAACCAAAAGTCATGCTGCTCTAAAGAACCGCTGCGTCAGCACGTATAACCTGTCTACCGGTCTTCTCTTCACTGCGATGATGTAAGGGCCACACGTACATGCGCGTTAATACACGATTCTTTAGAGCGGCACGACCTTTGGTTTGCGATCCTGTATGGCTCACACACTGCGTATCCCACTTTGTTGCCCAACAAGGAAGGCCTAAAATACATACGGTGACGCGTTTAATTCGCATATTTTCGATCATAGAAAACACAGGATATATAATATTGTTTTAATAAAATGTTCCAATGTTTTTAGATATTTTCAGTTATAATCAATTACATTTCGTATTATGCTTAATTTATATTGAATATAAGTATTTATGTACGCAGATAAATCTGTAAAGATATGCGACAAATATAAGGTGGACCAAAATTAGAGTTTGTGTGTGATCGGTTTCATTATATTCATTATTAGAATATAAAAAAAGACATAAAAATAGTTTATTCGTAGAAGTTATGTGGTGTCAGAGGGAACAGAACATCGCAGTATTAATTTTCTTGTAGGTCGAGAATCTTCGGTGATTTCGTCAACTTTTTTTTATAACGGCACATTTTTTTGTTGCATAAGTCGATTCCTTGAGACATTGTATATAAAAAAAGTATTAGAGTACAATGTCGACAAACTAACAGTTTGTGATATATTCAAAATGTTTTATATAACATATCTCACGAATTATTAAGTTTTTTTTACATAGTATCTTAATACTTTATGACGCAAAATGTTTAGAAGAATCTATTTAGGTGAAATAAATATATTTATTCCATAATATTTCAGTATCATTAAAGAAAACTATAATTAACATTAAAATCTCCGAAAATCCTCCACTTAAACAAAAACTATTACTGCTAAGTAATGGCCCCTTCCATACATCAACATACTTTGAATATAAACTTTTTCGATATCTCTAAAAATAACGGAGCTTCTTAAGATGATCAAACAGTGAGTACATCTAGCCCACCCTTTACATACATATCTAGCTACGTAAGTGTACTTGGCGCTCGCTTAATGTACGATTTCTGAATCCCTTTACAGCCCCAAACCGTGCATTAAACGAATATCCACTGTAGGTGTTTTTATACCAACATTTAGATTACAGCCATATTTTCTTTGAGTCAGATGGCGCTTCGACTCAATATAGATTGCGAACATAGGCATAGAAATATACTCTGATAACCAGTTGTATACAAGTTTCGCACAAATTGCCAGCAATAAATGACAAAAGTTGTCTAAAAAACCATAGCCATCTGTATCTGTATTTGATTTGCAGGCAACGCCAGCTGACAAAATGGTAAAGCAAATTGGCAGAAAGTTTTGCAACATGATCTATGTATGTCAAATTGAGGGCAGCCAATTTGTTGCATGTGTTGCGGCCAATTTGCTGCTTATATTGCTATTAATGTACGTGCAAGTTGTTTCTAGCAAATTTTGCTTCAAACTTGTAGCCATAACTTTATAATAGGCATTGGACAAAATTTGGCTTTGTAGGTTTGTTTGACTGGGCAGACTGCGCGTCAGGCTGGGTCGGCGTCCCAACTTTAGAAAGAGACGGGTTACTTTCGGAGGACTTGCTGTCTCTTTCTAATATAGCTTAGTTCTAATATAACCATTCGAAACGCAGATCCCCAGAACCTCACACCCCACCACTTAGATTTAACACTAGAACTACCAAAACAGTAAAAATGACTGGATAGTACATGCTTACAACGATCATTAAAATGTCATAGCAATGTATTTTCTTAGATCTTTTTCAACTTTTATTCCACTACGAAACCGAAGAAATTAGTTGATTTATAAATTTCTACATTTTCAAAAATTTGTCATGTTTATCAATCCGATAGAAATAGCTATACGTTATCGTCGGTAGTTCTAGTGTTAAAAAGAGATGCCTAAGTCCTCCGAAAGCTATCTATCTCTTTCTAAATATGGGACACCCGTTTCAGGGAGATGCGCAGTCTGTAATTCTATGTCTATGGTCGCGAACCGTAAGTATTAACATTCAAGTATTATATAATACATAAGATAATGAGACAGAAAAAGAAAACACATTTCTTGCGCGTTTCGTAGCCAAAGTCATGGTCTCGCTACGCGATTTGAACTTGGTAGTGTGGACTCTGTGACTCATTTCTGATGGTTCAACCTGAAAACGTAGTGTTCGAGGTCGAAGATACGATTTACGCCGTACTGTGCCGGTAATTTCTAACAATTTTACGATTTGTAACGACACCTTCGGTCATAATATATATTTTCTAGACAGTTTCTATAGTTCGTCCTTTTGTTGCTGCTTGCCACTTTCGGTCAAATCAGGTCGTATCGGCAGGTGGTCCCAGAAATTCATTCTGTCCGAATTAAGGTTCTCCGACATTCGAATATGATCGTTTCCTATGCGAAGGTATTCGAGAGCTTCCGTTCTTACTGGCTTCCATTTGATGGGTATTTCTTTGGACACTTCAGGCGTAGGATTGCTGAGAAATAATTCATTATCATTCAGTGATCAATTGATTAGTGTCGTAAAAGTAATTTGTCACTTTATTATGATCAGACTGCGGATTTTATGAATATACTAGCTTTTTTCCCGCGACTCCGGTCGCGTGGATTTTAGGATTTGGCAAAATTATTTTTAAAAGAAAACATTTAAATTGAATTGCAAACAAAGAAAATAAATCATCAAAAATAGACATATAGTATATTATTTTTATCCCAGTTTATTCGAATTTCAAAAAATTATGAAATTACTTTTCAGACATTTGTATAAGTATCATTTGCGAAAAATTCTTTCTTAGCGGCGGCCTAAGGCCTAAGAAAGAATTATCCTTAGAATTGTATGTTCCTTTTATACATATGTATATACATATATGTAGATAACAGATACAACTGTGTATAGGATAATAGAATAGACATTTTAAAATAGATTTCATTTTCTTTTCTGTGAGGTAATTTTAATTAAAACTAGAACTATTCTTAATAAATAGAATAATTCTTATTTTAGAATTACTAAAGTCATAAAAGTACTTTTGTCGGAGTTGATGTTAATCTTTAATTCATTATACACTTTATACAGTATACTATACTACATCATATCTTATTATACATATATTATATTGTAGTTCATGTGTTCAGGTATTAGTTAAGTATCTATGTAATTTCTGTTCTCATCTATTCGTCTATAAAATCGTGAATTCATAAAATCCTCCAGTCTGCTTATTACATTCCAGATTTATAAAAGAAAATAGTTTAATAAATAATATGGCTCAGTGTTTCGTATTTTTCCACTTTATGATTTCTCACCAAATGCATATTTACATGTACGTATTAAAAAATTCACATGATCGTCTTGTCGAATAAACGATCCCAAACATTTGTAATGAACAATAATGTACGAGAAGTACAGTGTATAATGGTGAGAATACGCAGTAAAATATGTAGATAAGGAAGGAAATACATATAATTGTTATGAACTTTATAAATTTGAAAATTTGATGTTTCAAAATTCCAGAGCACGACAATTTTTACAACAGGTAAGAGTTACGTTTACTTGATCAAATTATCAAAAGACAGCCTTTGGAGCATTTAAGACACGATGGTATTTACTTAATAAGACGAAATATTGTTGATAATCTAAAACACTTACCCAGTAGTGGCAAAATTAACCCAGAGACTTGTAATGGTGTCGACCATTTTGTGATCGTTTTCATTGAGCGGTGTATCCGTAAACAATTGTTCTCCGACTGGGAACAAGTATTGCAGTTCATCAGCATGGCATACTCCATAGTCGTTGTCAGCATCACCAAATATCTTACTGAATGATGCTCTACCTCGGTAGGCCAAGTAATAATAATAAACAGGGGCAGATTGTTTCTTGAGATAATCACGCACCGAATTATGAGCAGCGTGAGTGAACCAAGCATCGCTGTACATCTGTAAACCGTTATTGGATCAGGAATATGGTTTTATGCTTACAAAAAATTATGTTTTCTTCGATTACAATAAAAGCAATTGCAGTAGACCTTGCCGTATCCAAATACACTAATATTCGAACGTTCTACTATCCGAGCATTCTGTTATCCGAACGTAGAGTCTTGCAGCATAAAATAGATACTTTGTCGTATGCCTGAATGTATACTCTTATCTGTTCGATCAAATATGTATACTCTTTTCTGTTCGATCAAATTCTACCTGATTACTTATGCTGGACAATTTCTTAAATATTTAACCCTAGTGTTCATAACCGAAAATTTCTACACTATTTTGCAGCCAGGGTACCCCGGTACCTGCCCACCAATGACCGTTCTTTAAAATACTCTAACAGATTTTAACTTTCTCTTTCTATTTAAGACAACTGCATGTTATATTCTTTAAACTAAAGAAAGGAATTTAGCAACATAATTGCTGAAAGCGTTCAGTTTTTTTGGTTCTGTTTTGTAGGAAACTTTGAGCGGAGCGGACGTACTTGAGTATTTCCAAGTTGAATATTATATTTCTTTTGTCTGCTGTTTTATTTATTGTATTTTCGAGTGTTTTACATTGATAAATATTGGAATATGTATATTATTGCAGATAAGTTCATTGCCAAAGAATGGAAGAATTATCAGCGGCAAAATTTTCGAGGTATATGTATAATAATACATAAATCTACATACAGAGTGCGGTCGAATAACATGCACAAGCGGGCAGAAAGTGATTCCTCACGAAAAAATAAGAAAATAATGTAGAATAAAATTTTTTCATCCATGGCTTAGTTCAAATAATTGTTTTATTTATTAATAAATGTCACTTATTAATAGTTATATATTTTGTGTTGATTTAATTGCATTTTACAACCCTTTATTATAGTTTCATCCTTAAATTATAATTATTTTTCAGTTATAATTTATTTCTATGTAGATACCCGTGTACCCTGATTATGAAACAAGCGTGTTGTACCCTTTGAAGTCGATTTTTTTTATATTAGTAAAAAAAATGTTCAACTGAAAATACATAACTCGTACAGAAATTATTTAAGTAAAAAAATCTGAAGGGATTTAAAGATATTTTATCGGGGTTATAAAAAAGTGCCCGTTTATGAACACTACCTAGGGTTAGACAAACTGTTATTTCCTTGATCTCTATTTAAATAAATGAAGTTTAGTAGAAAAGTGATTTTTCTATTATCCGAAAATTCCTTTATCCGGACATTTATATGTATATGTCTCCCTATTAGTACTTTTTGTGATAGAAGTTTTTTTGAGAAAAGGACATAAAACCGAAGAACTGATGTTTGTTCGTATGTAAATTTCAAGTGAATTTATATTCATACAATATGTACCTATTATATTTCATACTATCGTATTAATATCGGTTTTGTTAAAACTGAATACGAAACAAAGAAGATACTAAACCTGAAGAAATACGATCTGTTTCAAAATAGAGAAAAGTATAGAATTGTTCATGAAATGTCGGACATAATTTTCTATAGGATATAACCATATGCAAGGTCTATTGGATACCTATTTATAAACTTTTTTATATAATTATACTTGTTTCTAGACAGATTGCAAACTTTATGAGGTGAAAATTATGACAGTATTTATGTTGTAGTCTTATCGAATTTCATGATTAATCAAATTCAGTACAAGTCAATGAATCCACTGCACTCTTATAGGTGTAACGACTTAAGTTGCGTGTCTTAAAAATTGTTAACAGATTTTTTTTTGAAAATCTGATTCTTAATAATTCAGTGCAATTTCAACATTCTTAATAATAACATGCAGTTTATGTTAACAGTTGATGTTAAATGCGAATTTTAAAAGTGGTTGTACTCACATCGATAAGTTTGAATCGCGTCGCGTTGTCTATCGGGGCTTTGCCGAAATAGAATTCTCGTATTTCGGAGGCTACGCGTTTTATCTCATCTTTGGGACAGCTCTGTCCGAACAGCAATGTTATAGGTGCGATGTTTGAGAAATCATTGTTCAGCTTCTTCAGCAGCTGTCCATTGTGTCTTTTATATAGTCCTGGTACATGCAATTTGGAATTTATATTTCTGACAAAGTATAGTTTATATTACATGGACAATGAATTTAGGCGATGAAATATTATTATAAACGGATGAATAATAATATGTAACGGGCTAAAAATCATAGTGGTGTAAGTCCACCTTACGCTGTTTTATTCGCAATCGATATTGACTGTCAATATTCTAAGCATGCGCTTAAATCTTTCAACATGCAGTTTTCATCGTTAATAACTAACGAATTAAATAATTATATAGTGAATAGTGATCATAGTGATGACGATTCAAATTATTGTCTTTTAGAAAGTAATAATAATATACCAAAAAATGCAAATGTAGAAGAAGAAAATGAAAAATTCTGCTGCGATGGTACATAAAATTTTGAATATTAATGCTGTTTTCTATCTTTTATCATACTAACAAATATAACATATATTCGCGGAAAGAAATTAATAATAGAGCCTTCATTCTTCAAAAAATACCATTGTATTATGTGCTCATTATTTTTACTAACTAAAATGTTTAGAAACACTGTGGTGTAAGTCAATTTTATGTTATTGTTTAATTCGCTTTTTGATTGTATAAAATTCTTTTTTGTACTCCAATTTTCACACATAGTATTTGTACACAAAATAATTTTTAAAACAATAATTAAAGCAGTGATATTTGCACGAAGTGGCTTGTACATCGCCGAATTGCTTACTTAAAGTGCATACATTATTAATAACTATTTCAAGTACATAATTTAAATTTATAAAATATTTATATCATGAAAACGTTAGAAACATCGACATTATCTATTCATTTACACATTTCAGTATCACTGATGTAGCTATTGTTGTTACAAATCCATAAATGTCCGGAAACTTGGTAGTGCACATGAAGTAATTGTGTAAAAACTTGTTTATACGTCCTTAAAACTTAGATTGAATCTAATGAATTAATTTAAAGATTTCTGGTCTAATGATTTATTTACTATAACTTCTAAAAGTTATTCAAACGTCGATGACCCAAATGAGAATATTATGATATTAAATATATACAATAATTGCCCGTTAAACTATGGGTACCTGGTACAACAAGCGATCCTTCTTCGGACGTAATCCCCGTCATCCATGGTATGTCCATCAAGCGACCATTCCTTGATGAAATTGCAGGATCTTCTGTTAGAAAAGCACCAGGATGATCGGGCTCAACTACTGGTCTGAAGGGTATCATTGGACAGTAACCAAATACCTAACAAGAAATTAAGAAAAGTTAATGCCACTGCAAAATTGTTCAACGGTAAAATCTTGTGAAATTGATTAACTGGATGATAATGTCTGTTTCGTAAAGGATATTTCTGACTGCAAAGTCTTGTGAAATATTGACATGTTTCTAATTATCGGTCATTTTTAGAGGCATCAAATTGGATGAACCTAGATTTTGAACTGTTGTAAAAAAGACGCTACGGACAATAGATCATACTATAATTTTTGTAGAAAAATGAATATTTAGGTACAAAATATAAAATACAGGTTACTTTTGAAATGAGGAACTTAAGTTCATTACTGAAATTGTAAGAATATAATTATTTGTATTTCACGTTGTCAATTTGATGGAGAAGTAGCATTTTATAATAACCGGTCAAGATTATATTTTATGTAAAAGTTAGATGTTAGCTTTTCTTATTACCGGAATTGGATTATTGACTACTGTACATTATGAAGATTTGCTTATCTTAGTTACATTAAAACGAAACCATTACTGTGGGAATGAACAATAAATCGTTCACTGTGTACATAATGGCTGTTTGCGTGGTTAATGTTTCGTTTCAATCTCTATAAATATAAATTCACAGCTACACCTCGAAGGATAGTACAGTCGATTTATTGCTCTTTTTGTGCACGCTTTCACTTCCAACTGTGTACAACATACTTCCGTGAAACCACAACTATCTTACTGTACAAGGTTCCCTTCTTGTTTTATAATAAATTGGTACATTTCATTATGATTTCACTAATAAATGTTGCGAAGAATCATTATATCAACATAAAACATGCGTTTCATTGTTGATCCATATATTATTTCACCTCGAACTAAAAATAATATTAGGCTGCCTAGAGTAAATTAAAACAGAAACTTCCTCGATGTCATTAGTTTAGTTTTGTTATGTGTAAGTATATAAATGCAATTCGAGTATCGCATTTGATTAAAGTTTCAGATGAATATTATTTTTAGCGAAAACATGATACTGATTGAATTTCTGATAAAAGTATTACGTAAAACTTCAGAGTCGTATTATATCTGTAACTTGAAAGTAAATCAACGAGTGACTTGTCACTTTTACGACGACATGGCTGTTCTGTTACTAAAAATGATTATTATTAATGAATATTAATTTTCGTTTGCGAAATCAAAGCACCCGCGCGAATGTACACGCCTAATGTATTCACGAATGCAGAAAACTGGTTTTTCCACTAGTCAGAATTATTATTCATCAACTGGTGTCACTATTTTGGTACAAGACTAGATGTCCGATAAACATTCCAATTATGAAAATATTTCTTCGGAACGACAAGAACTGTCCCACATATTAAATCGTGTATATTTTAAATGAATAGTTTATTTACTGCTTTGATTTTACGGGGCATAAGCAGACAACACAACATTTCTTAGGTTTCAGTGATGAAGTACCATATGGACCTACAATTTGTATAGTTACAGTGTTATCAATCGAGCAATCTAATTATGACACCAACTGTGAATCAATTTAATTGCACTTGTGCACTAATGAGATTCTATTCCGTTTATTTCAATAAAATAATAATAATGTTGTGACATTGTTTATCTTATTTTGAAATAAACATTAATGAAGAAGTTAAAAAATATAAATTGTATTTTATTACAGGTATAATTTTCTGTCTCCGATGTCTATGCAACTCAAATATATGATTTCTTCTGTAGAACAAAATTATTATTCAATCAATCTTTCGAAAAAAATCATTCAAGGCTTTAGAGATCTGCTTACTGCCTTCAGCGTTCAAGAGCAAGGCGTTACAATGAACGTAAGAGCACGTGAAACGTGATGCATAAATTCATGTTTGATAACACAGGCATAAAGCGTATACATATTGCGCTTATAAGTGCAATTACAAATTACGAAATCAACTGTTACCGCCATGGACGTAGCCAGGGTGGGCAGGGGGGGCACCCGTCCCCCCCTCTTGGATGGAAAAAAGTGGCTTTTGTCACACCCTACTAGAAAAAAAATTAGATTTTACCCCCCCCCCCTCCTTCCCAGAGTTATAAAATTTTTGCATAATAATTAATATTACAGTATAATTTGACACACGACCAACAGCCTTTATTAATAAAACGCATACATTTTCAACGATTTATGACTTTAAAAACAAAATAAAGTGTGTCTGGCTATGTACAGCCTTTTTTACTGTGGCAATCGATGTATTAATATTTTTGCCCCTCCCTGACTGATAACCTGGCTACGCCCATGGTTACTGCCATTATTTTTTTCCACCGTTCCAGATATCAAGATACACTTATGTAATATGAATCAATTTACGTACGTTGTCGTCCATAAACGTGCAACGTTCGATTTCAATGCCAAGGTCTGAATTGAACCAATTATGAATGTGTAGATAATCAAGGTCTCGTTAATCTGTTAGTCGTTTCATCGATGACGTTTGTCTTAGTTTTAAGAAGCTTAAAAGAGATGCAGTAAATGCCTATCATCCTGTATTCCGATTAATACAATTAGCGTTGCAGTTGATAAAAATTTATAAGAAAACGACTCTGTAGGTAACTCAATAGAAGTATACAAATTATTACACTCATAACATAAGTATACATAATAATATTACGTAAAGTAAGATAAATACACTGTCTTTCTCAAATGTTTCTTAACATAAATTAAAGTAGTAATTTTTCCTAACATGTTCATATTTTTTGTGAAACAGTCCGTAAAAATATTCTGAATATAACAATTTACGAATATTAGGAACATTTCTCATAATACTTTTTCACGACGGCAGAACGTCCGACGGTCGAAACCTTTGGCTTTATTTAGAAGACATGTTCGCATATTTTAGCTTCAACAGGTGTGATACAAATTGATCACTTATTATATTCGCTCGATATTGGGACGGTTTTCTAATCCGAAGAAAATGTGAAGAGACATTAAGAAATTCTAGAAGACCCAGAATACGGGGTGTGTCCAGAAAGTAATGGAATCAGTTTTTTTAAATTGTTTTATTGAAAAATTTTACAAATCAATGTTATCTGCTTCAACGTATGATCTTTGGGGACGCATACAACGCTCCCAATGTTTCTACCATTCTTGGTAACAATGCTGGAAATTTTCACCTGTGAGGGTGTTCAGAGTTTGCGTTGTGGGTTTTTGGACGTTAGCTGTTATGCCGAAATGGTGCCCTTTGAAATGTCTGTTCATCATAGGGAATAACAAAAAATCATACGGAGCCAAGTTTGGGCTTTAGGGTTGATGTGGAAGGGGATTTGTTGTCCAGGCAAAAACCCTCTGGCAGCCATTGAAGTGTAACTTGGGGTGTTATCGTGATGATACCACAACACACACATAACCCTTTTCCTCAAACAATTAAGAACTTTCGGGTAAAAAACGTACCACTCTACAGTCTAGATTTTGCACCGTGTGACTTTTTTATTCCGTATGATGAAGACGCATTTAAAAAGGCACCATTTCGGCACAGTGACTTACGTCCAAAAAGCCGCAATATGGGCTGTGAACAGCCTCATAAGCATGGGCGTAGCCAGGTTATCAGTCAGAGGGAGGCAAAAATATTAACACATCGACTGCCACAGTGAAAAAGGCTGTACATAATCAGACACACTTTATTTTGCTTTTAAAGTCATAAATCGTTGAAAATGTATTCGTTTCGTTAACAGAGGCTGTTGGACGTGTTTCAAATTATACTGCAATATTAAATATTACGCAAAAATTGTGTAACTCTGGGAAGGAAGGCGGAGGAATAATCCAATTTTTTTCTTGCAGGGTGGGGAAAAAGCCACTTTTTTCCGTCCTAGGGGTGGGGGGGAGGGGGAGTGTCCCACTGGCTACGCCCATGCTCACAGGTAAAAATATCTAGCAAGGCTACCAAGAATGGTAGAAACATCGGGAGTTTTGTGTACGGTCCCAAGGATCATACTTTGAGGGAGATAACATTGATTTGTAAAATTTTTGAATAATACAATTTAAAAAAAATGCTTCTTATTACTTGTTGGACAGATCACGTAAATTTTTTTCTAACACGAGGTTCTTCATGAAATACAGGGTGTTCCGCTTAAGGCAGGCCACCTAAATATTTTCTCTCGTGTCAAAGTTCTAAAAATGGAACAACCAGCAACAATTATTGTCTTTTTTGACACCACAGAGATTATTTATTTCTAATTTTTGCCCGAAAGACAGTTCATAAATTTACGTGACAGTGATCCAACGATTGATTACAAGAATTCGGCGTGTCAGGTCAGAATTTTGAGAAAGTGTGTCATGATCTCGTTCCCATGACAATGCTCCCGCTCATTTTTCAGTAGACATTTCACAGTTTCTAGGATAACACAAAGAATCAGTGGATTTGGCTCCTGCTGACTTTTTTCTATTTCGCAAAATTCAACTGACAATAAAGGGAACCTTGAAGACGAACTTTGCATTAAAGGAACAGCAACGCGAGAATTACGGACAGTTCCGGAAAAAACCAGATAGCACATGACGCCTTGAACACGCCCATTTTACGGCTATTTTAGATCTAAGGCGCCTTTCAGCCGTCTTCAAGGCGTCATTGGGCGTCATGTGCTATCTGGAAAGTGTTTTCTTGGCTATTCCAAACCTTATATGATAGGAATAAACGTCATGGATTGATTTGTATAATAAAATTTTGATTCCATTCATGGTGTTTGTTTTTCTAATACAAGTCCCGGAACTTTATTGTCGTAGTGTGTATATTATGTGTCGTTATCAATGTAACACAGTGAATTATTGTTCAGAATAAGAGTTAACGCGATTGAGTGCGTTTTATTGTTTAAAACATAACTGAAATTGAGCTCTTTAGATGAAATTAAAGAATGAAAATAGTAAACGGTATAAACACCGCAAAAAAACAAACATTTGTGATCTGTTTGAAGAAGCTTTTAGGTAAATCTCATTCTGTGATAAACTGTAAATTTATTAATATAATTTAATTATATAAATTCAGTGAATAATAATATTTCAAAAGTTTGTTTATTAGAATAAAAATTTCTATTGAAAATACAACTGTTATAAAATAATCATTATGTATTTTATTAAATTATAATTAAACTTATTATTAGTCTATTGTTTTAAAGCAAAACCCATCAAATCCCATCAAAACTTTTGCAATTATCCAATATTTTATAATTATAATTATCTGAAAGAAGTATATAATTATAATTACCTGAAAAGCACGATCTGTTCCGATAATGTCGTTGGCATTTTTCTTGCGTAAACAGGCGACCAATTGCTTCGTGTCCTTCGAAGGGCAGTGCAAAAGATCAGCCAGTTTGATGGCATTCCTTTTAGCCGAGCCTGGCTTGCCGACAGCCCATGGACAGTAACCGTTGCCACTTTGCGAGATAGCACGATGGAAAAGTCCTGATTTTTTTCAAAATATTAAATAGAAGGAATATACATTATGCAATTTTGATCGCTAATTAGTCGTCATTTCATTTCTTGGCCTTGAGCACGATTGACAGAGGTTTTCCAGAACGTGCATGTTTTTCTGAGGAAATTAATTTGGAATTCAATAGTTGCGCACTCGTGGGAATCCTGATATGTGGTAATTTGTTTTGCATTATAGAAGCGGTTAATTGGTACCTGTTATGAAACCTCGTTCCTGGAGCTTCTTTAGTTGGAAGAATTATGTCATTATTATTATAACATTGGCTGTGAGCTGTAAAACTTTTTTAAACGGATTCTTCGTGTAAATTGGTGTCAGTTTACTTTCCTATCATTGTACGTTTACTTTTTAATGCGTAGAGGTTAATTCCATAGAAAAACATAAGTTGAAAAAGAACAAATAAATTTTTTTTGTTTAAGGTTTCGTTTTCGAGAAAAACGAATTTGTCGAGTAATTTGAAACGCATGTATTCCACTTGGTGGTAAGTAGAAATCGAATGCAATGAACAGACGCGCTATCCAAGTCCTTTTCAATTGCACGCCTATCCAGCAAATGTTTACATTCGATTTTCTCGGAAACGAAGCATTAAATGAAAAAATGTTATTCTTTCTTTTCGACTTATTTTTGGATCTAAAATCACTATCGGATGAACAGTGACCGATTGTACCACGATTTTGAAAACACCCTGTACGTGTATCAATAAGAAACTTAATAAAACTGCAACTTTCTTGCGAAAAATGTTTTGATGCAGAAAAACAAACGTTTTTCAACTGTTATTTTACTTGTTTTTTTTTCATAAAGTGTTAATCAAATATTGGTATGTCAGAAGAAAATCAAGGATCTATACTATATCATGAATATTCATGCTTATTTTCCATCATTCATTTGTTGTAAAGCTGAATTGTTTAAATTAATTTATAGAACCGTATTAATAAAAAGAATAATGAATTACTTAATATTAGATTGCTGACGTTTATGCATTTATGGTACTTCTTAACTTTCGAAACACAATAGAATAAAATACATTTTAATAAAGTCGAGTGATGATTATGTTATCATTGACGTGACAAAACATCTGGTAAAAGAAATAAGTTTCTGGCTAGTTTTCATTTATATAAATTAGTGTCTAAGATTGTAAAATTGCCTACACATACACAGTCTACCTATCAGTATACTTACAATAAGTATTTATGTAGGATTATATGCTTTGCATTTAATGAAGATTTTCACGTGCTGTCGTTTTAATAATACTTATTAACGCTATCAACGTTCTTGAATCACGATCCTACTATGATATTTGTATTCAAAGCACTTGTGTTAATTGCCTGTCTCTGAAGAACTAATGAATAACTAATAATAACATGATATTAAATATATTGAATTCTAAAATTGTCAGGATTTGCTGTTAATTTACTCTTGCCCATAAAAGTTGCGTTTATGATGAAATACTTTATTACTTTAAACTTAATGAAACCCTTAATACTACCAGACGTAAAAATGCATTTTTGAATATTACGTGTACCCAATATACAAATAATCCACTATTTTTCGCTTAATGCAATATTTATTTTAAAAGATATATAAACTTGTACTCTTTTCATAATTTTCACCATTGTGCTCTATGCCAGTTTCAAGTATGTACAGTGGACTCTAACTATATTGCCATCGTTGGTGCTGTAGGAGGTTAAAATGGCAATGAGTTCAAAGCCCTCTCCATGTCAAGTTCTGTCGTCGTAGCATCGGCCTCAGCGCCTGTGCAAAAGCTGGATCGTGCTAGTACGCCGGCATACGCAACGTGGTGGGACAGCGAATTTGTATGCGCGAAAGTACGTGTGAACAGGAAGTGACTCGCGTGGCAATATGCTTAGTGGCAATATCGTTAGAGTCCACTGTATATTCAAACACGAAGAAATGATATGCTTGTACTGTTGAGAAAGTGATGAAGTTAATTATAGTGGTAAAGACGAAATTACTGACCTCTTGTCAAGCTGCTCATCATATGGTAATGAACGCTAGCACCTCCTGCGCTTTCTCCAAAGATGGTCACACGATTTGGATCACCTCCGAACGCGGCGATATTCTCGTGCACCCATCGGATCGATTGCGCTTGGTCTTTCATTCCATTGTTACCAGGTAATACCGTATCCTCCATGCTCAAGAATCCTAATGGCCCGAGTCTATAAAATATTAAGTAACATTCCATATGTATACAGGGTGTTAATAAAAATGTGGGATACTTTCACCGGGCGAATTCTACACGGCAAACCAAGATGAAGGAAAAAATGGTAAAATTCCGTTTGAGGCTTTGTTTCCAAGTTAGTCATTACGATTGGCACGATGGGTTACATACGTATACATATATGTCACAGTAAAAACGTGAAGTTTAGCGAATGTATACACCCTGATAACCACTTGTGTACAAGTTTCGAGCAAATTGCCAGAATAAATGACAAAAGTTGTCTAAAAAATCATAGCTATCTCTTTCCGTATTTGACTTAGATTTTGTAGGCAAAATTAGCTGACAAAATGGTAAAGCAATCTGGCAAAAAGTCTTGCAACATGATCTATGTCAAATTGAGGTCAATAATGTTAAAAGTATAATTTTTTAAAACATAAATATATTCAAAGAACAAAAATGAAAACTAAAAATATAACACTTTATTTGATAATTTAGGCGTCTTTTTTAAGAAAATTGGTTGTTTTTATTTAATAAATATAAAAACATAGGTTTCGTTAGGTTATACTTTTATTTAATACATTCAGAAAGAAACAATTATAATGTAAAAGGAATACTACAGTTACATAGATAGTTTTTATTCATTTTAATAATATAACCTAAATGATTTGTATCTGCGAAATTAACTATCTATGCAAACTGTAAAGATGCGTCCCTATTAAACCAAAATAGATAAGTTATATGATTCATATGAACAAATGCTAGCAAAAATATTTATTGATATTAATGCAGTTTTGTTTGTGCATGCGTTTACTAAATCAGAAATGTAAATGTATGCATTTACTAGTAAAATTATAAGTTTCGTTCTTTGTGAATACATTTACTAACCAGAGCAGTAAGTGCATACATGTACTGAATTAAGGCTTTTACTGTAACATGTAATAACATACAACACTCAATTCCAAGCTGATACATGGAATCGATCGATGGCCTCGTTAAATGTTTGATTGCAATAAAATGAAACAGAGAATGTAGAATTCATCCTGTGAAAGTGTCCCACATAGTTATTGACACTCTGTATAATTATTTTGAAACACACATTACGAATAAACGAATCAGATTTCTAGTTATAAGCACACGATACTAGTTTTTGTAAGTCAAATATTAACCTTCGCTTGGCAAATACTGAACCCATTTGTACCAATCTGTGCGTACCATAGTTATACATACCACAAATTATACATTAGACATTTTTGTAATTATTATAGAGTACATGAGCTATACACCATTTGTAATGAAAAGTAATGCATTTTGTTCAGTTACACTGTATGTCACGTTAATATATTCAACATCTATTGAACAGAGGTCTGTAGCATGTTGTACGGAAATACTGAACTAATTTAAATAATTTTTTGCGTAACTAATTTATTATTTAACTTTTCACGTTAAATAAAAAATATGCGTCCTGAGCAGAAATCGGGACGTGATTAGCCATTGATCTTATATCGAGTTTACTTTTCAGTACATTCGGTTCTGGTGTTGAAATAATCCTCAAAGTAAGTCACGAAAAAACATAAGAAGAAAATGCTAAACATGGGCAAGCTACGGGAAACATGTCTCAAGAATTCCCTTCATACTTTTGATACGACTAATCGATAATCGACTACAATGTTCTTTATTCTTATATTATGAATTTGTTCATATTCTGACCTGTAGTTCACGGTGACAAGAATGACATCGTGGTCCAGCAAGAATTTTGGTCCGTAGAATTCGGAGTGGCCGGCGCCACAAATCCAGCCGCAACCGTGCAGCCAGATCATAACGGGATAGCCTCCTTTCAGTTTGTCCTCTTCAGTTGGCAATCTCGGCGTGTACACGTTCAAGTACAGGCAGTCTTCATCTCCGATAATATTATCGTCGTGAGTGTAGATGTTTCTTTGAACGCATATTTTTGCATCTTCCTTGGCAGGTCGGACACCATCCCATTCTGCTGATGGTTTTGGCGGCTGGAAGAAAACGTATCCCGTAAAACATAATTGAATTTCTTGACCGTATGATATTTTGATTATAAACACTTGTTTAGCGTGGCTTGGCATTGCTTTTATAATTCTAATGTAACAATAAGTCGATAACATCGAATACAAATTTTCTTAACCCACTGAAAACCAGTGATTATAAGCATCTACCGTAAGTATCGTCATGTTTAATAGAAACAATTGTATACAGATAATTTATAAATTAATCTGTATATAATAATAATTGATAAAGTCAAGTTATTTAAATGTCAATTCATTAAAAAATGAACACATAATTCAAATAGTAGTGACAAATATGGCACATAAACCATATGGCGTACTGCTATGATTACGGTCGTCAGTGGGTTAATAAAATGAATTTCCGAAAAATTCGAATTTGATACCTAAGTCATCGATCACACGTGTTTTCAGATACATCTGCTTAACTATTGTGCAGTGTTAGAAAAAATATTACATACTGTATTACTCACTGAATTGGAATATGTTCCTGAATAGTAGGAAATTGAGTAAGGTATGTCGAGAGAAAGGAAAATGTAGCCAAAGAGAAATATAGTGCCTGGCAAGTGACAGAAAAATAACCAAAGAGCGTAATGTGCACGATGTTTCTTAACATGCGCGACGCACTACGGCGGTAGACATTGTACACATTGGCTTTTTTCCCGATTTGCAGCAATTTATATTCTGCTTATATTATTATAACAAGTAGGAGTAGTGTAAGGATTGTTATAAAAGCGATAATCGTAAGAATGAAGTCAGGCGAGTGAATAAGAATGAGTGAGTAGCAGAGAGAAGGTTTAAAAATAGTATTGTAATGCTACATTGTGATATACTATTATAATCTTATGTATTATTCATTTCGTTGCGGTGTTATAATGCCCTTAACCATACAGTGCTCATGTGTACAAACATCCCATCAGTGCTAAACAATACTACACATACATGATACAATATTTTCTACACGAACACTGATCGTCTTATAATTGCAATAATTATTGAGATCTATACTTTCTATAAAAGTAGGAAGGTACACTAAATATGTAAAACATAATACCACAGACCTATCAGGCCCAACGTGATGTCTGTAGGGCTCAATTAAAAAGAACCATCATAATTGAAGAATATGCTGCTCAAGTGTATAGGTATTCGGACATAGTATATTATGAACATTCGAATGCTACGATTCTTCAAGAAATTAGACAGTATCGTCTTTGCTGTTATTTGTCGAACACAATAGCTTTCTTCGACCAATTTTATAACAGTACCAGGTTTTTATCCTGATAGTTCCTTGAAACTTGAGTTCACCATCGCATACACCGTAAATTCTAACCAAAGATTGCGTCGTCTTAATAATATACTCTTCTGTTTCACGCCACTGGCACTGATCTGAACGTATAGAAGTGTAATAGAAGTTAAACCAAGGCAGCTAAAATGTATACACGGATATATTCTACGTGTATCTTTTTGATCGAATTTGGTCGTACCTAGATCGTTTGTTAATAAGTTGTTCTGCTCCGTAAGAATTGAATATATATTAAATTTTGATAGAATAGAGTGATAAACATCTATAAACGCAGGTATACTCGTAGAATATTCATAGATTTCCATCGTCATATAAGTGTCGGGATATTTATGGACGACAGTGTTAGGTATACATGCCAAACAAATTTTCTTACCAAACAAAACTACTTTACGAAATATCGGTGCATACGCAACTAGTGTAAATCTGTTCAGTGAATGAAGGCCCAACATGAATAGTAAGTAGAAGTATGCAGGAAATAGGTAAATAGCTGAAACTGGTTTATTTGCGGGGAGGAAAGCGATTTTTTTTGGTGTAGGAGCAGAAAAGTTGCTGCCACAGTCTAACGGGCATATTTCTAGGAGTTTCGTAATCAAACACAAAATTACATCATTGGATACCTGAACGAAAACAGGTTTTTTGTTTGGTAGTGAAACAGACGAGTAGTTAGACCAGTTGGAATTCTTTGTGCTTTTGAAATACAAATTCTTGAGAAATTTTACGTGTTGAGAGGTATACGTCACGTTTCAATTAGATTTTCATTACATTAATGGTTTACAGTACCTTCAGATCGAAAATTTTTCACTATCACACCTTACGCAAAGAAAATAAATTAAACAAGTCAAGTTTTTTTTGGTAGGTTTAATAGCTCCTAACTCTGTAGGTTATAACGATACAATAGAAAAGGGTTCTAAAGTTGCAGAAATAACAGTTACTCGTTGTCAGTCAATCGACACAGAGTAAAATATAATGGATATGTCGACCGAAAAATTAACATCGTTAGAGTTAAAAAAAATTTTCATTTTTGAAATAATCTCAATGTATCTTTACTTTTGTATTTGCGTATAATGTTGTATAACCTCTGATTAACAATAGAACTTTATAGAGTGATATAAATGCAGACTGCTTGTGGTAAGAAAAAGATTTAATAACTAGGAAGTAAAAAATAATGTATTTGTCGAATGTAAGATGAAAAGATCCTTTAAAAATTAACAGTATATTATTGAAACTATATTAATTCTATTAAATGTAACCTAGACCTGCGTTATAGTGTATAATAAAGAGTCACAGTTGATACGGAATTATTACGTAGCATTTATAATTTTCTAATGAATTAACTAACGAAAGAAGCAAGATATTTTTCAAAATACTTTCGACTTTATGAACGATAACGTTTCCACTCATGTTTATCAAACAATTATTACTCCATTTCCAATTATTCTTCAAGCTTTGAATCAACTATTAATCAACCTGTACTAGTTTCTTCGCAAAAGAAATTGAATTACAAATGTTATGTCAATAACAGTGAGAATAGCAGTACTTGCATCCTGTTCAAAGGCAGGTTTAAAAAACAATGTAGTATAACAATTATTATGTACATTAATTAATGTCCGCACAGTAGGATAACTGGAGGTTGAATTATGTAGTTTAAAGCTATCAATTATGTGAAGAATGGCTGACAATGAAGTAATAGTAGACAGTATATGTACCACAATTCTTTTTTGTTGGCTCGATATCATAGTACTGAAATGCGTAACTCGTTTAGTATTCACTGAACAGATTTTTCTTATCTTGCGCCGCAGCAGAAACATTTAAGAGGAAAAATATTGAGAAACATTGGGAAATCCTTCGTGTAATTCGTTGTACAGTCATATGTCTACGTACACGTGCTTGGAACATTTCTATGATATTTGGAATTTGTCTGTCATTAAGAAACGCGATTATAATTGTTTCATTTATCTTCAAGGTACGAACGTCTACAATAATCTGCTGTAAGTTCACTGAAACGATATCGCCTATTTTTGTACTTATGATATTTGAATGAATAAATAGAGAATGAGCAATAAATAGTTAAGCGATTGTCTTAATAGACACTACAAAAACCAGAACTAAAGAACAATTTTTTCGAATAGAGATAAATTCATGGGTTGTAATAAAACATAATCCAATTTTTTATTTATACTATTCTATTATTAAGTTTCCTAATATTGAAACAAGCGATTAATGTTGTATTAGGAGCAATATATTTATTGAATAAAATTGCGGTCGATAAATGAATAAAATTATTGAATTGAGTTTGTTTATTCGTTTCGAAATGATTCAGAAAGTATTCTACATTTTCATTACTGCGAAATTATAATTATTGTTTATGTTGGATTTTTTTTTAACCTTTACTAGTTTATACCAAACTGGATGTTTAACTATAATGAAAGAAAAGTTAGGCTTACCTCAAATCGAAGTTCTTCAAGTGGTGGCAGGGCATATGGAATTCCCCGGAAGCCCGCGAACTCTCTGCCGCGCCTAGTTTTCATGATCAGGCCCGATAGCGTTCCATTTTTTATTTTCACCAACGGTGCATGGGCCTCAGATGCAACGAGCTCACTCAAGCAAGCGCAGCTCGCCAAAAGCCACAACAAACTTTGGTACCTTATCATTTTGTTGCAGGCAGAACTGAACAAAAATTATTCGAAATATACTGTAAAACATAATGATTTAAATAATTAATCGTTCGAATCACTTTATCATTGTCATTGTGATATTTCGTATTTGGAATACTAACGCTCTGTAGTATATGTATTAATTAATTTTTTTATCATCAGATTGATACCAAAACTTTGTCGTTTTTGTAGGGAGGTTTCTGTTAAATTAAGTAGTTTGTTTCCTATATATTGTTTAAATTAATTTAAAATTTTAATTACGTTTGAAATTAGAAGAAAGACAAAATTTTCTAGTAATAGGAAAAATTACAGTTATGTGAAGTACTGTAATTTGGTTTTTTGTACTATTTATAACGTACACATATAAGTGTTGACAAAATTTTTCTTTAAGTACAAGACGTTGTGTACATACATTGTATGTTCTCATACTATGTAATACTATGTATTTTATAGAGAAATGAAAATCTGTTTGTTAGTTTCTTTTGGAAAAATTGAAAACAAAATGTCTAACGGCACTTATCATGAATAACGTACTGCGGATGATTGTTCTGTCTACGCATTTCAATTTTAAATGTTTATAAGCCTTTCACATAAATAGTCGTCGATTGCATAAACGGTTAACAAGTTAATGACTGGGTGATGAAACACGACAATTAGAGACGTAATAAGCATGTTTAAAGTAAAAGTTTCGGTCTTTATCAAGTAGACATTATAATTAATCGAGATATTAAACATTTTAAACCACTTTTAAAATAGTAGTAATATTATATTTTGACTCCTAAATCATCACCCACTTAGTTTTACTACTTGCACTTATGGTGTAAAGTGTCCAACTTTATAAATTTTAGTTTTACTTTCTGACCACTCTTCCTTTTTAACGCTACAACTACCAAGCAAGTCAAAATGACTTGTTAATACACTCTTACAACGACGATTAAGAAAATGAAGATACATTTTCTCAGATCTTTTGCACCTTTATTACGACATAAAAGTGAAGGAATTAGTCAATTTCTAAATTTCTAAATTTTCAAAAGCTTTTCACATTTATCCACCGATCGAAGCAAATATGCGTTTATCGTCGGTAGTTCTAGTGTTAACATCAAACTCTTAGAGAATTGACAAAATTTTGAACATTGATTCTTTTGAAAATCGAACAATGACCAGTCTTTAAAATAATATATTCAAATTTCGTTCCTTATTTGTAGAACACAAATTTTTATTTCGGATATTTAATTAGATTGAAATTCGTTTTCTAAATAGACGAATGCATTTTTTCCACTAGTTGACTAAACTTTTCTCACTAGACTGTAAGTGTTCACGCTGTACATTAGGTTTAAATAATTGAATAATAACAATAGTTTAACACAAATTGATATGATTTACTAAAGATTTTATTAAATCAAGGCGATAATATAAATTTTATTAATGTTTCCATTTTATTCTGTTTTACACACTCGTAAGTTCCATAAACGCATAAACATTTACAGTTCGTTTATACCATGAGTCATTAAGCATAAATCAATGACAATTATGAATTAACTGAAATGATAATGCAAATACGTGACTACGTACAATTTGATGAATATCTTAATTGTTCTTCTTTGAACCGTGGATGAAGAACGCTTTTGGTCCTTGTTGGATGGGAGAGGAACACGTGCTCGATCCACGGCTGTGAAACCACGACTGTTTCAGGTGAGAGACGTTCGATGGATCGTTAGTCCCGATAATGTTCAACCGACACACACAGAAATACGGCTGCAAGCAACTTGATCATTATAAGATCACCGATGCTTCCTGCAATTTAAGAGAGATCAATATTGCGTGTCTTTGGTTCAAGCAATAATTTTGTAACGAGAGGATTCTAATTCAAGTATCTTCGAATAAATTACTGATAAACGTTCAGAACAATAAAAACTGATACGAGAATCGATGAAACACTGAATGAAGTACTTAAAAAATAAACTGCACGTATAACGTTTGTAATTTCATGAATTTTCATACTTACAGTTAGATAGAAGAAATATCTACTGTACACTACTATCGTTCAAAAATATCGAAACATTTTTACGTATACAGAAATTTATTATTTATACAATTTATCAAAATTGGATATATTAAGTTGTTATTGAGTAACATGAGATAGTTTATGATACATAAAATAAATCAAACTAGTATAATGAGAGTAGAACGGAAATATAGAAAGTGTACAAAAGGAATGATTGGAATTCAGTACATTTATGCATTTGGACGGAAGTCAGACATTTAAAACTCACAAGTATAACAGTAAGACCATGTCAGATGTTCGGTTAGTGTCAGTTGGTTAGTTAATGTAGTGTTATTGTAATATTAGCAAAAGACAGATACTCAATTTGATAAATAGTAGTTGAAAACGAGAAGTCCACAATGCATACGGTACTCATAAAATTACGACATATGAAAAAATGTTTCTTTAAAAAAAAAAAGATCAGAAGGTTATATTTTTATAAAAGTTGCGAATCCACAAACAAGTTTCTTTTGTTTTTGTACAAATTTCCAAACCGAGCAATTCTTAAAATTTTATCAATTTTGCTTTGGGGAAAATAAACTTCTGTAATATTTTAACAGAGTTTCAAAGCTTGTGCGTAATTATTTCGAATGTTAAGAAATGTAGAAAAAAAAATATTATAGTGATTAATAAAGAAATATGATTCGACGGACGACAAAATTACTAAAATTGTTATGTTGGGGGCGTATGGAGTTCTGTTCTATAGATAAATATGTCACATAATAAATACATAGGTAATATTAGTTTATTTATTTTAAGTATGCAAAATATTTGTGCAGTATCCATTTGGATATCCTTCTTAAAGTTCATACTATAACAAAAAATATTTTAGAATGCTTTTTTGAAGTAAATAATATATTCATGTTGCAAATGCAATAATAATAAAATTAATAAACGCATAAAACGCAATAAAAATCAGGTGGCTTTTATTAAATATTTATTTTTTAAATATTAAAGCATGAAAAATACAGATGGTACTGCCACAGACGGGATTCCTCGCCAGTGCTGTCACCTTACGAGACTTCGTGGCCCTAGAGTTCTGTAATATCGGCACCTTAAAAAACTTGTGATTATAGCGACCTCTTCGTTATAAGAACGGGGAATTTGGGAATTAAAATTCTATAGTAAAACAAATTCCACAGTGTTGCCAGGACTACAGAATCGAAGGAACCATCTATTTTACGTATAAATTGGTCGAAGTCAATTATGGATACCAACTGATCAATATTCGTTGTTACAACAAATTTAATTGTTATAACAACTACAATGTTAGACATATTAAATTGTTTGAGAAATAATTTTTAAGGGACCCGATCCTTGCACAATTTTCGCACCTGCCAGCTCAAATAAAAAATTGTCATTCTGCAATGTAAGTTATCAGGTTGCAGGTCCTAAAGATCGATCCCCTGACCAGTGATCCGATCGAAAAGCAATTTCGCACTGTGGGGCGGTGTCTGTGCGCACGCAGCCTCTCATTATATATTTCATTCATACTACGTGTATCTTATATGATTTGGGAGGGGAATAAGAATATCTGATGCTACGGTTTAAAGGCTAAATATGATAGTAATGAAATATGAACTTATTCTAAATGCATCGTTAGTGAACACTTTAGCAATGTTACCTTTTTCACGTTCCTTTTTTATTCGCTTTTACATGTTTTTTTATCTTTTTCTGGCAATTAATAAATTTTTATATATAAACTTATTTCCATATCATTTATTTACAATAATGATTTCAACTTTATTTCGATCGTAGGAAATGGGGAAGGGAATTAATTTATTAAAATAGTCGAATATACATATATGTATATCGTACGCTAACGCGTTATAATACGGTCAACAGGACTGTTACCTCGCGTTCGCAGAAGAAATGTGCAATATGTCACATCAACTCGGGAAGTAACTAATTAAAACCTTCATAGTTAAACGATGATCGCATTCGCTCGCGGAACAATTAATAAATCCGAATCCACCGCGATGCGTCTCATTCGTTTCATTTCCTCCGTGTACTGTTTCTTTTCCGTAATTGTCTTAAAGAGAAATTCTTTTATTTTCCATCTCTAATACATACATACAAAAATTTGTTTGTTCAAACGTCAGTTATAAGACCGTCGCCTGGATTATCCCAGTAAAAATTAATTAAAATTCCAACATGAAATAATATCCGTAACATTTCTACATTCTTCAATGCACTTTTGCTTCTAACTCCGGTTATAGCCAGTATCTGTGGGCTATTAAATACAAGATTTAATGTAATGATAAAATATAATTTTAGATGAATATTATTTTTAAGTGAATTCTACTTTGCTCATATGCCTGGAAACTTATACTTTTTAATACAACGAACTTAAACAGTTGAGTAACTAAAGAGCGTATCGTGATTCGTACTAGTTTGCTTTTGCGTATGTTTATAATCGCTAAACTGCAATAACGAAAGGGTTAATATTGCAATATAATCCTTCCAACCCTGCGCAACATAAACGTAAAACGTAAAATACCCAAACAAAATTCAGTAATTTCATGTAATATTTTATTCTCATAAATATTATGCAGGCGGATAAAACATTAGAAAATGTCCTATAATTAGTCAGCTTACCATGCCGTACTGCATAATCGCTAGATTGGCGTAGCGAAAGGGTTAATATTGGAACTACTCCCTCTAACTCTGCACACAATAAGCGCAAAAAATATACGCAAAGGCGTTAACTTCAATTAATTTTCATACACCCAATTTTAAAGTGTCTATACTTTTGAGGGTATGTCCATAAAGAAGACAAATAGGGCTATATCTTTATTTTTTCAAATTTTTAAATAGTTCGCCGGCATAAAAACAGGGCATTTATTTAAAACAATTGCAAAATAAATGGTTCAAAAATATTTTTTTGTAATTGAAATAATTTTTATTTGGTAATCTTGTATCTCCACTGTAAGTATCCCATTGTTAGTTCAATAGTTATGACTTATTGAAAAAAAGGTTGACCCTAAATTCCAACAGATGTAAATCAACAATTTAACAAATTTTCAAAAATCCTTCGAGATACCTTTGTAAACCGCTAAAGACTTACAACATATCTAAATTTGAACAAAATCCGAACTCGTGCTCCAAAGTGTCCGATTTATAACAAATGCAAGAACGTCTCATTACTAAATGTTTAAGAGAAAAAGAAAACTCCCCAGAAATATGAAAAACTGCTTAAAGAATAAAAAATTCATAAGCGAGATAATATCCGTTGTAGAACATATCAACATATTTCAAGATATATAATTAAAAACGCAAGAATCACTTAAGCTAAGTAAGAAACATAAAGCTACATACAAATTCCCCCTAAACTCTGTATTAGTGAGCTACTAAAGCTATTGTTTATACTTAGTTCAGCCAGATAAACTCACTTCACTGGATAATTTAAGTAGGCTAAGTAATATACCCGTGTAATACTTAATGTAACAGTGGTCGCGAATGGCTTGTAAGCTGATGCAACAATAAACAAAACAAAATTAAATAATTTCACGTAATGTTTTATTTTCATAGATATTAGAAAATCGCTCAGAATACAACGTGCCAATGAATTTTCACCGTTCTAATTCCAATAAAAATATTTCTGTCTCGATGACGAAACGATCCCCACCCTGTCGCCGGTGTCCCGCTGCACCACGTGTTATCCGAATCAGTGTCAATAGAAGGGACACGGAATTGTCGTTAAAAGACACATGTGTGGAATGCGTGCAAGACGGTGCATCGGCGTTTATGGGTAAGAAGAGCGGCACGGTGCGGTGTTGGGGAGGAGGAATCGTAGCAGAAGAAAAGTCAAACGCTCGGGGTGGCTGACTATATCGCGTGGCGACTATTGCACTCGGATAGTACCGCGGCCAGAGACACGACGATCTATCGGATCACGCGGGTTCGCTGACGAACGTGTGGTTTCCCGGCACGGTCAAAAGTATCGAAATTTCGGGTAATTCGCTACGAAAACCATGATTTGACGAGGAAAGGGGTAGCATGCGGCAGGACCACGTGAAGCAGCGATGGAGAACACCGCGACTACCTCGCACCATCGACTCCGTTTCTTCGGTGCTGTGCTTCCTGTTAGGATTCAGCTTGCATTCGTTTGTAGTCGGTATCACCTTGCAAGATGTAGGTAAGTAGTTTACCCACTGGATATTCTGGCGTAGAGTTCTTAGAGTTTCACGTAAATATCAATTTGAATTTACCGAGGCGTACTTGAACGTACTGAGCTTTGAGTGATAGAGGAATAGATCGAACGTGATTGATTCGTGTGTGATTTTTATATATTTATCTAGGAGACATGGATGAATAACGAGCTTCGAAATCATTGTGTAGGCCGAGTAATAAATGTCGTTGCCAGTGAATGGCTTTTTAAGTGATCTCTATTGCGTTAATTGAGGCGGTGGCCGTAGCATGCAAAACTACGCGTTCCACTCTAGAAAAGAGGACTTCTTAATGGAACTGGTTTAAGTGTTCGGCGTAACGCGATGCGTTACGTCTTTCAGGTTCAGGGGTTATTGGGTTTCCAGTTCTTCATCGTGCCGGCATGTCATCGTGTGCGTTTCGTTACGTTTTATCCATTGTTATAATGGGTATTCAATAATTACACATGCAGGGAAACATATATACAGTAATGTCTCCATGAGTGTGACGTACTCGGGTCCATTGCGGAGCATCCGTGACAAGGCGGAAAGGTTTTCAGACCCTCATAAATTTCTTTTTTGCCTGAAGCCGAGCTTATGCTTAGCTTCTTTTTACTCTGTTTTGACTGGTTCCATAGGGGGACTCCCCTAGTGGTGGGAATAATGCCATTGCTCGTGTCGCGTTCATCGAGGAATCACTGTAGATTAACAATATTCGTCTATATGCAGCGATTCACAAATTTATTCACGGAAAGCTGTCACATTTGTTTCAGCAAATCGTGCGTTGAACAGCGAATTATAGTATAAAATTAAGAAATATTAAAATTAAATTGTAAAGAAAACACCTTTTTGAAATTTACATTTCTCAATTTTAAGATATTTAAAATTCGTCACAAAGGAATGATAAAAGTGAAGATAATGAGAACATATAAATAGGAAACTTTTACATTTGACTGTTATTTCGAAAATATGTGAATGGATATGTGAATTACTGTAGATCATATTAGTAGATCTCTTTACGTATTCTCCATAACTTTCCTCGTAAATTACGCTCAATCACGTTTAAGAATTCATATTGCCTCGCTGATAAACACTTTCTCCTTTTAGATTTTTTGTTGTTTTTCAAAGGAAACGGTCAAGAAGATGAAGTATTAGAAAGTGTTAGTTGCAGCAAGGAATGTAGCTTAAAATATTAAATGGACAGACTGATATAACGGTGACAGAAAATAAAGTCCAATTTTGTTTTCACATGTTTCGGTACATTGTGTATTCCTAAAATTCCTAGAAATGATTGTGGTACGCGACTTTGAATAGCACGATGCAGGGAATATAATAAACAATAATACTGTACTTCTCAAACTTTAGACGTGTTTTTCTTGTAGCCATGTTTTTTAAATTGACGTGAAAGATAACTCACAAAATAATTAATCGATAGACTTGATACTTTGCTTCTTTATAGTAGATATACGTTATTGGAGAATGAACCTCAAAACATAGGTAAATTATACTTTTTTTATGTTAGTACAATGTACACAAACAAAATCGAGATTTTGATACCTCAATTTCAAGTACATAGATACTATTCTTGCAATTTTCATTCTGTAAGTTTGAAATGAGGTTCATCTTCCAACGTACAATTTATGTTTGGTTTTATTTGAGATGACCAGAACGTCATCGTACATATCAATTGCGGCGGTTTTTTATAGAATTGAGTTTGTGGACAATCCACACAGAAAACTACCTATACGCTTAAATTAATAAAAAAAAATGCTACTTGATATTTTAATAGTGCCTTAATAAATACAAAATGTTTCATAACACTCGGTTCATTGAGTTTAGCAGAAATAATTCGCAAAGATATGCTCGGTTTCAGAGCGTTACATTGATCTGACCGCTTTCTTGTATGGGCAACTAAACTATTCACGGTTATTGAGCAATCGGAATACCCCTATTCTGACAGATTAGATACACATAGATAATTGCACTTTCATACTTTTATATACCAAGAGTTGTTTTAGACAAGAACATAAAATATTGTGAAAGGAAATATAGAAATGGGTACCTGGGTACCCGGCAGAGACGGGCAAATTCATTATTTGGATGAAAAGTTTCGAATAACGAATAAAAGATAAACAAAATATTTCGTCATTTTTCATTGATCGAACGTGGCAATTCCAATTTTTATAATAAAATAATATTTCTTCTTGAACGAGTAGACACTTCGTAAATAATTATTTAATCTCATGAACTGTTTAAAGGTCAGAATGACGATTTTAAATACTGCTGCTTCTCATCATGTATTATTCGAATAAAATTGTGCCCATTTCTGGTACCCGGGTACCCGGTTGCCTACACAGGGTTAATTAAGGAAAGAAACCTTTCTAGCATCTGTGTAAAAACTGTGAATCTGTTCTTTAACGATTTCAGAAAAAGATATTGTAGACTTGGTGGAAGGGACTGGAATGCAGCAGGAGCCCCTCGGAGTAACAGTAATCGAAAATCGTTGTCACAGGAACGATCCGATCGCTTACGAGATCAAAGAAAGCGCACTCCTGACGATCAATACGAATACACTTTTTCCTACTGACATATCTCGTGATTTCTCCATCCTGGTCGTTGCCAGACCAAAAATCGGTTCGTAACCACTTCAATCAATTTAATTTACTTAAGCCAGTAAAAGGCTAAACGTTTACGTTCCATTTTATTAGTTCTAAGTGGATACACGGAAAATTTCGGGAGTTCACTACTTTTAACGAATTTCTTAAAAATATATCATTCATTAATTCATTATGCAATGAAGGTTGTGTTTTTAAATTAGTGTCTTACATACCACGTTTGTGGACCACCAGTACACTGTTAGTGGACCAAAATAGTAACTGTTCACTCCTTCTCCTGCAATAAATATATTGAGCAGAATGAGAAGAATATGTATAATCCTAAAGAACATATTTTAAAAAAATGTATAATATGTAAACATAAAGTAATCTAATAGAAATTGCAATATCATAATTTTCTAAAAATCTATAAAACTGTTTATGTGTGTAGAAACAATATTGTTCTCTATATTTAACATTGTTATTGTCATGTCACCATGGATGACACAGTCTTCATTTCAGAATTAAAAGCAGAACTCTATAGTAAAATACCGAGTAAAACAAATTGCAATTAGGGCCTATGAGATTATTTGGTATGGTTAAAAGAGTAGATACTACGATATATCTAGTTTTCGAGGTTTCTGTTACATTAAAGAACATTAGTTGCCTTTGTTGGAATTCTTATAGGTGTTTATCCGGCGATTAACCTGGTAAAAAAATGTATAAAATAACCTCTTTGTCATTTCTATTTAAATCAATGTCTTCAATAGGTCCTTGTAACCACAGAGCTGTTGTTTTTGAAGTTATAAATGAATTTTTACTACGATACAAATCGATGTTTATAAAAATGAATTTTTTCAACAAAATTAATTTTCTGAGATAGACATGCAATAATACAAAATTACTTGCTTCGAAAATACAATGTAACGAACAGTTACATAAATTATTGAGTGATATATTTTTGGAAGAATATATGTCATCTTACGATTAAATACAAAAATAGGGTACCCGGCTGCCACGCTGTTTGCCATCTACAGCGACAGCGGTGAGGAACAGTTGGTCCTATCGTTGGGCAACGATATCACCCTTTACTACAGCACAGATCCAGACGAAGATGTTAAACCGATTTCATTTGGAATTAATATATCCGACGGAAAGTGGCATCGTTTGGGGATCAGTATCAAAGGCGATGCCATCACGCTCATTGTCGACTGTAATCAGCATGTCACGAAAGAATTGCGCAGAAACGTTCAAGAAACGATCAGCACCAGCGGTATCATAATCATCGGTCAACAGCTTGTCGACGGCAACGTATATTTGGTTTGTAAAAAAGAACATCAACAATGAAACGAATTGAAATTATTATATGAAAGTAGGCTAATATAGAATAGCATTTTGTTTTTCGAATGTCATTCTTACAAAACCAAGCGCAACAAATAAAAGATTTTTATGTGTATTCAGTCATACATTTACGATTAATTTAAGAGGAGTCTTATATTTCTAACATTATGAACAATTTTCAATATTGAACTAACATTAAAGATTCATCAATTTTAGCTAATATGGAATAGGTACCCAAATATGGAACACTGATATCAGGTACAATTTTTTCATGGAAAATAAACAATGAATAGTGTTATTTTTCTTATTCTTTAAGACACTTTGGTCATAAAATTACATTTTAAAGAATGAAATAGAAAAGGAAGGTATTTACAATAATCACATATCCAAGTATCAAACTGTATCAACACATTCGTCATATTCCATACTTGGAATTTCGCAAAAGTTAAAGATACCGTCTTCGACTTTAAAAAAAAATCACATAACTTCACGAACACTTATGAATATCACAGGCAAGTATTTCAACAACGCCAAGAAAATGAATAAGCATAGTAAAATATTAATACATGAATATCAAAAATACATTAAATTTAGACACTAACGTTTGTCCGACTGATGAGTCACAAAGTGTGTGGTGCCAAACTGAGTGAGTAAGATAGTCTATAACCGTTTGACAGATATTCATTTGTCAGATTTTAAAAAATGGCACTATTCCATAGTTGACCACTCACTTCCACGAATTTCAGCTTATTACATTCCTTTTTAAATTGAATTATCAAATTGTTTGAGCGTGAATTTTATTGGCGCTGTTCACAGGGTGGATTAGAGATGTTGAGGATCGCCCCAACGCCAGACGCTGCCTACGAAATTTGTACGATCTTCGCGCCCGATTGTAAAAATCAGACCAGATACACGCTGGGATATAGCGGTTACACGACCACACGAAATTATGGATCCGTGCGAACCACTTCGTCGAGTTACTACGAGAGTTCGTCGAATTCTGATAACAGCGGAATAGCACGGAGCTCTGGTTTCTCTGGCGGTACGTTTTCGACTGGTGGACCGTATTACGAGACGAATTACAATAATATCAATCTGCCTGGAAATTATGGTAAAACGTCAACAACGGTGTCTGGTTCGAATGATTTCCTTGACAAGCAGAATGAAACTTTCGGGAGACGAGCGGAGAAATTTTATGGAGAGGGGGTTGACGAGGACAGTGGCGAAGCGTCCTCTGAAGATGACAGTGACTATAATTTTGTTTACGGACCCACGAATGCTACATATCCGTCAAGACCCACTGTTCAAGCGATACTTGAAAATCAAAATATTGTGAGTCTTTTTTTATTATTATGTTTAACAAAATGTAAATATATTGGATAGTGCCATAAAAGAAACTTCCGTTTTCCATTTCGAAATTTTGTATCGGTCCAAAACATTTTACAATTAACCCGTGGTAAGCACAATTTCATTCCAGGATCCAGTGTAGGCACACTGGTGCGAATCAAGATTTTCAATCTTTGAAGTTTTATGACGCTTAAAAGTAAATAGTACTTTTTAATAAAACGTATGTTGTTGATAGATAATTTACTCAGGAATAAATGTTAATTGAAGAAAGTAAGATTTTGAAAATACTGAACACTTATAATATTTTCTGGTGCGAATTCACACCAGTATTTCTATTACGGATGAATATCCATCTATGGCGTGTTCTCCATCGCTGTTAAACTTAATAGTTGATATTCAGTTTAATTATTCCCATTACGGTTGTTACTTGATTATTATTTACTTATTGTTTAGTGTTTATGACGTAAGTTCTTGATAATACCACCTAATAGAATAGGATAGAAAGTTAACACAAGTACAGTGATCTCCATTTATTGGAACGATATTTTAGTCAATGCTCGATTTACTGAACACATGCTGAACTCCCATTTTGCGAACCACTGCCAAACGTTACTCTATGTAGTTATATGAACATCGGCAACAGCTGGAATGTAGACAGTGGATCAACGCATTACAAAAAATCACACTCATGCTTCATTTTATTATTAGAATTAATTCACTAAGCATGACGAAATTATTGTTCTCGTAAATTTTTCTTAAATTTATAAGATTTGGAACATTACTATAAGCAGAAAAACGAGTGAATATATGATCAAATTCACTTATCTGAACGCAAACGCTGGTTATTTGAATGAAGAGTCATATGTAGTGGGGGAAATCTATGAACTCCTATTATTTACCTGCACTTACCTTTCACTTACCTGCTTCATGTAAGTAGTATCTTAAACAGGTATCTTCAAACAACATTGTACTTAAAATTCACAGGTCTAGACTAAATGATTCAGTTATGATATATTTTTGAAATGGACGTGACGAAGGAGTATAGCTGATATGTTACGTTATAAGAGTGTAACACAGGAATTAATACGACTGCAGCAACAAACACAGATTTCACGTGTACGGTGAGATTGACAGAGTAAATCAGTATTGAAAATATAAGAAATTTTTGTTAGGTGTTAATAAGGACTCTAGTGACAAGAGACCTTGCAAGACTGAATGAAGACATTTTACGGGTTACTGCTGTGCAAAATTCGTTAGTAACTATCAAAGCATGGGCGCAAAATGTGAAAACGTATTAATCTCTAATTATTGAAAGAAGATTGTTTGCTCCCACTAACACTAATACAAAAAAAAATTGCATTACTTATGGGATGACCCAATATATGAACGATCCAGTTATAGAAAGTGTTTTGTCCCTTGACGGGTTCAGATAAATGGAGTTCTACTGTCGAGCGAAAGCTAAGTCTCAATGGTTTTCACGATAAACGATACCCACCTCGATATTCATTTTTACAGGCTGCTAACGGTGTCGAGGCAACCGCAGGTCAAGAGTACGAAACGACAGTTTCAGAAACACCTGACATTTCCGACGGTTTGCTTGGAAGTGTTCAAGGAACTCTAAAATACGCAGCGACCGCGGAGGGTTCATATTATAGTCCCAGTTACTATAATGTTCGCGGACCATCTGGGCCACGTGGATTTCCGGGTCCTCCGGGTGTGCCCGGGGCGCCTGGTAAAAAGGGCGAACCTGGAAGGGACGGTTTGGCGGGCCTACAAGGCGCGCCTGGTCCGCCTGGTAATGTTTTCATAATACCATCGTTGAGCCAACAGAGCAACGAGAAGGGACCGGACACTCAGGCGGAAGCATTGAGGCAAATGCTGTCGCAGCATATGATGGCCATGAGAGGCGTTGAAGGGCCCACTGGCTTGACGGGTTTGCCGGGTCCTGAAGGTCCACTCGGACCTCAGGGTCAGAAAGGAGAACCTGGTGATGTTGGAGAATCTGGACCTCGCGGTGACAGGGGTACGTTTCATAAGACTACTCTGGTTTCTTAAAAGGGTAGCTTAGTGTAACTCGCTAAAAATGAAGGAATTTTCGAGTGTTTTCTTTAAACAAAGTACTTGATCGATATTTTCGAAACTTTTAGGATATTTTATTATCAGATTGAAGTAACTTAAAATCTTTTTATTAGAAGAATTTTGTAATCATTACGGGGCACGTTAGACACACTATTTGTAATGAACAGTAATAAATTTTGTTCAGTTACACTTTATCATTTTAATATACATATTCAATATATGCTGCTACACACTTGTTTACTTCATTTTATTTCAATAATAATACGAAAAAAAGAATATATGTACAAAATGAGTTGGAAATGTAGCGAATTGGTACAGTCTCGCTGGATAACGTTGACATTCCTGTAATTGACTCAGAATACACCAGGCGATTGCCTGGAAAAATCCGTGTATAAAATAATTTCTTATATTATTGAAGGATTCCCCGGAACACCTGGTAGAGAGGGTAGAAGAGGTCGACCAGGAAGAGATGGCGATAGGGGTGTCAGTGGACCCCCTGGAACGAAAGGTGAACAGGGAGGACTTGGAATGCCAGGTTTACCCGGTGATAAAGGTGAAAGAGGACTTCCAGGAGCCACCGGTGAATTTGGTTTACCAGGTCACGAGGGAATGCAAGGTGACGATGGTCCGCCGGGATTACCAGGTCTACCTGGTGAACTGGTAAAAAGAATACTAAAGATATTATTATATATCAATAGCAGTCATATCTCACATCTATCGAAACCATTTTAGGGACCCAGAGGGTTCATAGGATCTCGAGGTTTTCCTGGCTTACCAGGCAACCCTGGAATTCCTGGAGGTGAAGGTCCGCCAGGAGCAAAAGGCAATACTGGTCCACTGGGACCTCCAGGTGCCCCGGGACCATCAGGATCTGTAGGGCCTATCGGTCCGCCTGGGCCTCAAGGTCTTTTAGGACCTCCTGGTTTGGTTGTCAGTTTCATAAAAAATTGTATTTTCTCCAAATATCTTTGGTTTGATCAAGGTCTTTAAAAATGTTTCAATAAATTATAGGGACCGCAGGGGAAGCCTGGAATTCCCGGTCTTCCAGGAGCAGACGGGTCACCGGGACATCCAGGGAATCCAGGAATTCCTGGAATGAAAGGTGAACAAGGACTGCAAGGACCGCAGGGACCGATTGGATTTCCAGGAATTCGTGGTGTGAAAGGTGACGAAGGTAAACGCGGGTCCTCTGGTGAACGCGGTGAGAAAGGAGAACGAGGATCGGAAGGAGAAAAAGGCGACGCAGGCACAAAGGGAGAGCTCGGTTCAACGGGACCGCAAGGAATACCTGGGCTGGAAGGTTTGGAAGGTCCAAAGGGTTTCGAAGGTCCACGGGGTGAAACTGGATCGGCTGGTCCGCCCGGAGAAAAGGGTAAACCTGGTTCCCCAGGTTTTATTGGATATCCTGGGAGTGTTGGGGAAAAGGGCGATAAGGGACAGCCAGGAAGAGCAGGCCTCAGCGGGGATAAGGGTGAAAGGGTGAAAACATCATAGTTATACATACAGTCGACTCTTGATATATTGCTACGCGAGTCACTTCCCCTCTACACGTACCAGAGATGGGCAAACTAATTATCTACATAACAAGTTTCGAATAACGAATAAAAGATAGAAAAAATATTTTGTCATTTTTAATTGTTTAAACGTGGAAGTTTCACTTTTTATAATAAAATAATACTTTTTTACGAATGGATCGACATTTGTCGAACATTTAACGGAACATTAAGGTCGACACCCTTAGATATTACTGCTTTTAACGATGTATTATTCAAATAAAATTCTGCCCAACTCTGACACGTACTTTCACGCACATGAATTCGCTCTCCCACTACGATACATACGTCGTCGCCATCGACACGATCCAGCTCTTGCGCAGACGCTGCGGCCGGCAGCATAACTTAGCATGAAGAGGGTTGTCGGTACATTGCCGTTTCCTACAATTTAGTCTTCTACAGCCCCGGCCACGGCAATGTATCAAGAGTCGACTGTATTACAATTTTCTAATGTATTTCGTAGAGAATGACTACGTATAATTTTATTGCAGGGAAATAATGGTGCGCCAGGAGAACGTGGCGAGCCAGGCCCTAGAGTAAGTAGAACAAAAATGTCAATTAAAAATAAGTTAGCGCATGAACATAATCTCTGTTGATATACAATACTATACATAAGTTTAATCTCGTTCACCCAAAAAGGAACAAAGGTTATTTATCATAAAAATAATCTCGAATGTTTAGAACGTGAAATATACTATTGTATATTCTGTAATATATCGTACGTATACAAATTAGTTATTCATTACTTATATATTTACAGTTATATGTTCTTGTCTCCAAAATGGTTTTCTCTAGTCTTAATTATAGCTATGCATACGCACAGTAGTTTCACGATAACCTCACCCAAAAATTAGACTTGTTTTCTTAGAGTGCTATCTATAATAAGTCTTTCTTGTTATCTATCAATTTCCGGATCTCCCAATCAAAATAATCTCACAATTCTGCCAAACAGAATGTTTCCCTCTGGTTCTCTACTCTAAAAATCTTTTTGTAACCTTTTTATATAATGTTAATTATATTATGTATACTTTTTCCTATGAAGGGCTTCAGGGGTGCTCGTGGAAGACGAGGTACTGAAGGTTTTCCAGGTCCAAAAGGTGACACTGGACAACCAGGTCCACCAGGATCACAAGGTGAAGCTGGTCCAACTGGCGTTGAGGGTCCTCGAGGCTTTATAGGACCTCCGGGGCAAGCAGGTCTTGATGATCCAGCTGGCGAATCTGGTCAGCCCGGGGAACCTGGGAGTCCTGGAAGCTCTGGTGCTCCTGGAGAGACGGGTCCTCCTGGCGAACAAGGGAAAGAAGGGCCTCCAGGACCTCTTGGTTTACCGGGTAAAGATGGTCCACCTGGTGCTGGTGGTTTACCAGGATTTCCTGGTGAGCGAGGATTGAATGGTTTACCGGTTTGTCCAATTTCTATCAATTACGATTTTTATATCTGAAAATCTAAATTTCTACAGAATTCCAATCTTTTGTAAATCTGAACTATCGTTCTCTGTGAATGAAGGGAATGCCAGGTCCAAAAGGAGAATTAGGATCATCGGGTCCTCAAGGTCCACCTGGAGATAAAGGTGCGCAAGGAGAACCTGGGAAAGATGGTGAAACTGGACCTCAAGGAAGTCAAGGACAGAAAGGACCACCAGGAACAATTGGTTTGAAAGGAGAATTGGTACTAATGATAATAATTAATCAGGTTTCTTGCATAATATAAATTAAGAAAAAATAAATCTCACTGTATGTATCTCGGTTTTCTAGGGTGAACCGGGCTCGCCAGGACCTACTGGACGTGACGGTTTAACAGGACAACGTGGATTACCAGGCCCCCCTGGTCCTGTTGGAGTTCCAGGGGAAGACGGTGATAAGGGTGATATTGGACCACCTGGTGAGAAAGGATTTAAGGGGTCTCAAGGTGAAATGGTGCGTACAATATCATTTCACGTATTTCTCTATAAAATACAAATGATATTAAGTTTATGATGTTACTTCTAAACTACTGTCATTACGCGCAGTTGCTCGGCGCGGTAAAAGACACGGTTAGTTGCTATTCAAATGTTAGCAAGTTCTCGGGATTCCTTTAGGAGCACTCGTGTGCCTGCGAGTGCGTGTGTTGAGCGATGTTTTGTGGGGCAGAGGGTGGTCCGGTTCTATTCGTAATACGCTCCATGCTCGAATTTGGAGCGGTCGCGTTACGCTGTCAAAAAGCAGCGTAACAATGCTATACTTTACAGGGTCCGCCAGGACCGCCTGGTACACACGGACTTCGAGGTGAACCCGGAGCAATTGGCCTATCCGGTGAAAAGGGACCACCGGGGGAAATCGGGAGACAAGGTGTAAAGGGCGAAGATGGCCCTGTTGGCGCATCAGGCTCACCCGGTCCGATAGGACCACAAGGATTACCTGGCCCACCTGGTTTGAAAGGCGAAGTTGGAGATACTGGTGCAGTTGGTCCTGTAGGACCAGCTGGAAGTCCAGGACAACCGGGACCAAGAGGACCGAAAGGTTCTGAGGGTTTACAGGGTCTACTAGGACTAGAGGGACGCCAGGGAGAGAAAGGAGACAGTGGGCTACCAGGACTTCCAGGTGCAAGCGGGCCTGAAGGAAAACCGGTAACAGAGTTTGTGTATCTTCTAATTATATCTAAGAAGAAGAAAAAGGTATTATATATTAAAATACATATAAACAGGGCGAAAGAGGTGCTTTAGGTCCCAAAGGGGAGGAAGGGAAAAGTGGACCTCCAGGAGCACCAGGTACTCGTGGGATACACGGTCCAGAAGGGCCAAAAGGTCACGTAGGATCCCCTGGTTTTCCTGGGCCTCCTGGGGAGCCAGGTTTAGTTGGGCCGAAAGGAGAACCTGGTAAAGATGGCGAAGATGGTAAGCCTGGTGATTTTGGCCTACCAGGTGAGCCTGGAGCACCGGGAAAGGAAGGATTACCTGGACCACCCGGGAAACCGGTATAAAAATATTCAATCCGTGGCCTTTACAATATTTATTTTAAACATACATATTATATCATACAAATAAAAATATATGTACTTAAAACCTTGTATAGGGACCAGAAGGTTCAGCCGGACTCCAAGGAAGTACAGGGTTACCAGGTGAAAAAGGAGACGTGGGTCCACCTGGTGTACAGGGCCTTCAAGGTCACGCAGGTCCCCAAGGTCCACCAGGACCACAAGGCTTACCAGGCGTAAGAGGTCCTCCAGGACTCGCGGGAGAGAATGGGCCACCTGGTATGTCAGGAGCAGTTGGGTCTCCAGGAAAAGTTGGACCAGTGGGTCCTAAAGGTCCGAAAGGTGAAAGAGGTAAACGAGGAATGAAGGGGCACCGCGGCGACCTAGGCCATTTAGGTATCAAAGGTGAACAAGGTGAAAAGGGAGAGTTAGGAGCACGAGGAACACCTGGAGTCGAGGGGCCCAAAGGCAACCAGGGTCCGTCAGGAATGCTTGGGCCAAAAGGTAACGATGGTCCTTCAGGACTTCCTGGCATGGAGGGGCCACCTGGACCAAAAGGCAATGCTGGAAACGATGGACCAAAGGGTGAATTGGGCCCACCAGGACCTCCTGGGCCTCCTGGTCCACCAGCAGAGCAACCAATGTTTCCTCCAGAATTATTGTTCACGAGAGAGCAATTATTAAGGAAGAAACGCGATGTTCCGACAGATACGTCAGTAACCTTAATGATAATAAAAGGAATAAATGTTTTCCATAGATTTGAAATACGTTAACTGTTGCAGGAATGATAAAGACGAGAATGATAAGAGATCAGATAATTTAGATCCGGATGATCATACAGAGGAGGAATTGGGGCCCAAGTTTTTAGACATGTATAGTTCAATATACGCTATGAGACAGGAATTGGATCGAATACGTAAACCAATTGGAAGCAGAGAAAATCCAGTAAGAACTTGCAGGGACTTGTTTTACGGGCATCCACATTTTAGCGATGGTCTGTGTTCTAATCCTTACACATAAAGAAAGATTCACGATACTGTCGATTCTATAAAAATCTATAAATTTATGATTAAATAGGCTGGTATTGGATCGATCCGAATTTAGGAATGGCCGACGACGCTGTGTATGTTTACTGTAATATGACAAACATGGGTGAAACTTGTGTATTTCCCGACATTCACGTAAGTCAAATGCCAAACATTCCATGGAGGAAGGAAGACAACAAAACGGATTGGTACTCGAATTTACGTGGTGGATTCAGGGTGAGTTTCAGTCTCTTTCCTGATACATTGAAAAAAATAAATATATTTTCTATTGTTCTATTAATGTTATAGATTACATACGAAACTATCGGTGTAGTACAATTAAATTTCCTGCGTTTATTGAGTCAGGAAGGTTGTCAGAATTTCACTTACACTTGTATCAACAGCGTCGCCTGGTACGATACTTTGAATTCCAATTACAATGTCTCGCTACGACTGTTAGGTTCGAACGAAGACGAATTTTCACATACCGGTATCAAGCCTCAAATTATGATGGACAGTTGCAAAACACGGAAGAGTAAAGGAGAAACTGTGTTTCTAGTTCAGACAAAGAAATTAGAACAATTACCATTGGTCGATTTCTATCCAGTTGATTATGGCTTACCGCAGCAGGCATTCGGTTTTACATTCGGACCAATATGCTTCAAGTAAATTATGTTTGTCGAATTCTTATTGGCAAGACTGAATTGTAATTATACATTATGTCTTCCATTAATTTCTCATTTTGACGATCCCTTATTATCGTGTTAATTAACGTTTAAATGATTATTCAAGTAATTACCGTAAGGAGTACAATAGTGAGAATATCCACGTTTTCCGTATACTTATGTCACCTTCGGTTTAGACGCTCAGAGAAATGAGAAACGTGCCATACACAACTTAATTTGAATGTAAGGTAAATAATTTTATTTATATAGAATGCCTTTTGTTAATATCGGAATCAGTTTCACTGCCATTATTATGTGATGCGTATAACATATTCTGTACAGGTCAACACTTTCTTATGTTTATAAATAAAAAGCATTAATATAAACGATTTCCATTAATTTGCAACAATGACCTTACGTTTTATATGTAATTGAAACCTACATACAGTGCTTACGTATCATACTTTACATCTATAAAATTAATTACTTTAAATTATCTTTTACTTACATTATATAGATATGCACATAATACTTCCAATGACCTGTGTTCCAAATGCAGCATATACCTATGTAAGTATTTCTCATCGTATTATCTCATGAAGCTTGGTTACATAAAATTAAATAATATCTATTCCAACCTGATAATGAATATCTTTAAACGCGCTCAAGTTATAAATGTATCAATTGTTTTACATTAAAAATAAAGATGTTCACAGATTTATATTTATTGTTAACAGTTAATTGAAAAATATATACAGTAAAACCTGTTTTTATGCGGTAGATAGGGACCGCATAAAAGAAACCGCACAAAAAAATATTCGGATATTTCATAAATACTACATATAATAAACAACTTTGTACGACATACTACAGAAATTTTTTTTTATGCGGCGGAGAGGGACCGCATAAAAAAAGTCGCACTTAGAAAATACGTCAATTATTTACGAAATACATGAGAAAGTGCTTCCAAACAAAATAAATAATTAAATTACACATTATAAAAGCATTTAATTTTTCATTGTATACATGGAGAAGTTTTCAAAATGCACATTACATAAGTCACTGCTAGTCGTCGTAATCCTTAACGCGCATCTTCTCGTGATGAATTGGTTCACCATCTGCTAGTCTATTTAATATTAGATTTTTTGTTTCTAATGGAATTGTCTTTCTTTTCACTTTTTTTTGGCTACAATTATTCATTTTAAGGGAGTACATATGTTTAAAAATAAAATGAAAATCATAAAAACTATATACAAATAGAAACAAAAGTAATTAATTTATGTACCTTTAATCTCACTATAAAATGAATCCTTAATCACGTGAGTCGTGGATAAAACTCGGAATACGAAGCGTATGCTGCTAGCGCGTCGAGCGAAAATAATTGAATGTACATTGTCGGGAAACTGTTTAAACCAAATGAACAGAGCGTCTTGAAGTGTATATTTATATGTACACTGATAGAAAACATTACAGTAATGCCAACGCCGTTGAAATTCATATACCGCATAAAAAAAAATCGCACAAAAAAAATCGCACAAAAATAAAATCGCACAAAACAAATCGCATAAAAATAAAATCGCATAAAAAAGGACCGCACAAAAACAGGTTTTACTGTATTCAATTGTGATGTTAGTAGTTGCACCATATGTAATATATAAATGAAGAAGTTTACTAAGTGGGTTCCGTGGTGTAGCGGTTATCACGTCTGCTTTACACGCAGAAGGTCGCCAGTTCGATCCCGGCCGGAACCAGTATTTTTTTATTATCTATGTATTCATCATTCTCATAATTATTTTTATCTTAGAAATAGCTTACACCGATTTAAATATTATAACGAAGCATAATTAATAAAAACAAGTACCTCTTTCAGGTAATTAATTGTATACAAATATTTTCATTTACGATCATTCCACAAGCTGATCAACTTTCGTACACGATCTCTGAGCTTTTGCTTAACACTATAACTATTAAACCCGTAAAAATGGCAGAATTCAGATTTGTTATTTTACCATTGTGGAAATTATTAAGGTGCTTTTATGGATATTCAGGGTGACGTTTAATTTATTGTATATTTTACATTACACTACATTACACTATACTGTATTATTGTATGCTATAAATATGAACGTATAATACAATTTAATTTAGTATACATTCAACGCTGGTAATTCTAGTGTTAAATTGCAAACTGTTATAGTCCATAAGAAAATAGGAGGGTTTAGTTCATTATCCCGCTGGTTTCGATATTGTTTACAAGATACAGAACCTCATATTTGATAATTTCAACCGACTTTTACGAAAACTATTTTCACAAAAAAATTGTTATCTCTGCAACTATTAAAGATACAAGCTTGATTTTATTTTCATTTTAATCATAAAATATTGTTCTTTTAAACTACATTTTTGGTTTTATACGTGTTGTTATTTCTGCAATACAAAAATATTAAAAACATTTTGGTTTTACACATTTGATCCCCGGTTAAAGTCTGAAAAATTTTGAAAAAATATGTCTGTATTCTGTGATCTTTCCTCTTTAAAATTCATTAGTTCAATTCTCGGACATTTTGGAGGTGTGATTGAATCACGCCCGCAAAGGTCGTGGCGTCCGGCGATTCAGGTAAGCTCGTCGCTTGCTTCAAGTAGTCTCGGAAAGCCCGATGTCCTTTGAACTATGCACGATATTAATTAAGTCGTACAGTAGTAAGAACGTTTCACAGACATTTTATTAAGGTTCTGTAGATGTAGACGTTTTGAATATACAGGGTGTCTCCGCTAACTTAATCACCTTGAGAAATGACTTAACAGTACACTTTATGAAAATTTTGAGGTGTGGAACTTGACTGGCATCAAGGGGCACATCTTATAATGTACGTGTCTTTTTTGTGGGTGGAGGCATTTCAGAGATTTCAAGGTCACATTAATGTTTTTAATATGTTTTATAATTAATTTAATATGTTGACTTTCATACGTCCTAAACCTAATCGTTAACGAGATATTTACAAAACAATTGTTAATACGTATTTACTACGTGGAAGTTATAGGTGCTCGAACTCATGCTTCTCAACTTCAATACAGTAATTTCAATACAGTGATTATATTGTAAATATCTCGTTAACCATTAGGTTTAAGACGTATGAAGGTCAACACATTGTTACTAATAATTTGATACCCTATCGATATATGGCACAAAAAATAGGTAATTCCGTTAAAAAAATTCTTTAGTATGAACTTCCTCATTGACTTTACGTCATATCAGTTTTCGCTCATGGGATCCAAAAACATTAAATTTACTGTCATCTGCAGAAATTACATATATCGATATATTCACGATGTTCCTTACTGCGTTTTTATAAGCATGCTGTGTCTCGTTTTACACGGTTTCGATTTACACTATTTTTCGTGGAACGTAACTGCGTTCGTGCTAATCGAAAGATGTGTGTAGTTCGGCGACGAATCCTGACGCCAATAAAGAATAACGTCGTCACCTCCCCGTATTTTTATCCTCTTGTCCTGTACGCAACCAAGTGAATTGACTCGTCGGTCGAGATTCACCACGAACGAAACTGCGCAGATCCGTTTGGATAGTTACAGGAGCCACATCGATTCGCATCTTCGGAGGGCTGAAAGCGAGAAGCGGTTTGGGAGCAGGAGGGATCGAGGGAATTCGCGACGGATGGAGTTATATGCGTGGGTGAACCGTGGGAACGGACAGGTGGTGTCTTGTCGTGGTGGTCGACGATTCACACTTCCAGCTCATTCTCTTCTGGTGACAAGAAAACCAAAGTGACGGTACAGGGCCGTTTTATCGCGAGCCCTCTTCGCGTTGGCGGATGCCACGACATACAACGAGTAGATCAATGACATTCCACGATTATTCTTGGATATCTAGAACATTTTTGAAGATTACAGATACAATTATTTACTTACTAATTTTTCTATTTATCAGTTTCTTATTAATATTCAGACACCGGTACAATTTTGACTTCTGAGCTATACATTTTCAATACCAATCAAGCATGCAATGGTGGGGATGACATTTGAACACTCAGTGCCGAGGAGCCTTCGAACAGTCATCGATGATTTACTGTATTACGTTTTCTCATTTCGAATCGAGAGTACCTACGAGTTAACTATTAATACATCACCCCAGAATTGCAAGTTTTATTTGTTGTGGCACTAACTGAATAAAGGAATACAATTAATAAGTTTGAGTTATAAGCATTTAGAAATAATTGTTAAACAGCCAGTTTACTCTAATTTTTAAAAGTGGTGAGACAAGAATGTAGTATTTTTTTTTATTAATGGAATAATCGATGACAATGTCATGTGATTTTGTGATTGTATTGCACTGTCCAAAACATATCGGTGACTCTAAAAAAATTCGACAAGGAATGATTATAACGAAGAATGTTCTATTTACAAAACTCCTCCTTTGAAATCAATCAAACCGTGTTTGAAACACTTCTAATATCATTAAAAATAAAGAAGATATAGTGTTCGGTCTTAACTGAGACACCCTGTACATATAAAGACGTGTGTCGTATTGTGTAAAATTATTAAAATTCCAGCATGATTTGTGGTAGTTAGATTTCTCCGCGAACGGCGACAGGAAACGTGTTAAATAAATTCAGTTATTGCTACAAATGGATTATTATACCAATTAAAAATGAAAAAATTTATGTAATTCCATTTAACAGCCAAACTTCTTTTGACTAATTCATAAGAATATTGTACTGTATTGACTTTGTTATCATAAACATAAAAAGAACTCAATGCATCTGTAGCAGGAACTAGCTTCAACACCATTTCTTATTCAAAATTGGACCACTTTAAAAAATCACAGTTCATTTGACAATTGCATGTAGCACAGGCTGGAATACGTGAGCTTCGTATGACCTATTCCGTGTTTATGATATGAATATTGTTAATTGACATTTGCAAAGGAAAATAAAGTAAGCAAACACATTTCGCGAGACCTATCCCGCACGATAAAGCGTATAATAC